AGGGTCAGATCCATCACCTTTAGTCCCCGTGGTTTTAAGATTTGCAGGCCTCTCGCCAGGCATTGTTTGAATGCCCAGTGATTTCATCTCGAAGACAGGAGCAATAAAGGACATTCAGAGTTTCCTAAATTCTGCCCAGTCATCCATGTCCCGGCCCTTTCACAAGGCTGAGTGCAGTGCCACATGCTGCTCTGAGGGATTTTTAAATTACTCCATCAAGGTTCCTCTGAAGTCAAGGCATCTTTAAATCACATTCAGTACCAGCCAGACCCTGTTTGGGGAGGGATCCTCCCTCCTTCCCAGGAAGGCAAAGGTGGGAGCAGGACCCTAATGAGCCAGAGCTGGAGCCCCCAGCCCCGTGGCATCACTGGGTGACACTGCAGGGGTCACTGGTGGCTGGGTGAGGTTTGGGATCAACGGAGTCCCTCATTCCTGGATGACACAAGCATTTGGGATTTTGGGGGGAGGGCTTCACCTCGGGGCACTGCTCTGCACTTTAGACTTTGTTTCTCTCTGTTTTTCCCCCCCAATTCCTTCCCTCCACCTTTTTTCTTCCAGCAAAATGAGTTGCAGGCTCATTCAACAACACAATTAAGGGTTTAATCACAAACTGCTCCTTGCTCTGGATCCTCACGGACACAGATCCATGTCTGCACATGCTCCTGCACGGGGGGCTTTCTGCAGGAGCCTGGGTCCCACCCAGGGCTGAGCATCTCCAGGAGGGGTCCAAGGGCTCCTCTGTGCCAGAGCAGAGCTGCCCATCAGCTCTCCAGGGCAGGGATGATCTCCATCCCTCAGTGTGGACAACAGCCACCATGAGAGTGGTTTTGTCGAGGTGGTTTAATAAACCTTTGCTATATTTGTATAACTCCTGGGGCAATATGATCTGGAGTTAATTACTGGAGCTGGTTTTCTTTGTGAATACATCTGAGGAGTTTGTCCTTTATGCTCCTGTTTAACACAATTCAAATTTGGGTGGTTTGGTGCAAACATTGGCATCAGGGGGGCTGGGACCTGACACTTGGAGACCTTGGACACTGAAGGGGAAGGTGGCCATGAGCCCTGAGTAGCTTTGCCAGGGGCCTCATCTCTACATGGCAAAATCCCTGCCTGGGATGTGTGTTCCTGGTGATTTTTGGGGTATGAATGCAAAGCTACACAGTGTCCCAGCCAGCCTGAGATTTGGTGGGAGACCACCAGGAAACTCCCAGTACGGAGCATGCAAGGCAAGGAGAAACCTGGATATTTAGGGATAGAAGCTGAGGCTTCACCAGCAGCCAGGGAGAGGAAGGAGGAGGAGGAATCCACTGCAAAAATGTTCTAAAACATGGTGGAATGAGGCTGAGCAGCTCCAAAAGTGAGACTGAGAGCAGCAACGCTAAATAAGGACAGGTAGTGCCTCTGTCTGAAGGGATATTTTTATTGGGATGGCAGCAGGAAACATAATTTTCTTTAGCTGACATGTATATCTGGAGCGTGTTGCAGCACAGAGTCAGCCAGTGTGGTGTTTTTTTAAAGAGGGAAATCATATTTCATAAAACATCCAGAAAAAAAATCACTGGGAAGGGAACACAGCTGGAGGTGGGCAAGTGGCCACTGGCCCAGGGGATGCTGCCATGGACAATGGCAATTCTGATGAAAAATACCTGTTTTCTGGCACGTCCCCATCAGGGTTTGGACATGTTCTCCCCCTCCAAACTCTGCTGGTTCAAAAGAGGCATTTTGGTTTCTGTTTTCCTACAGACATGAGCTATTATTCATGGCCAGAATGAATATATGTTTGTACCCATATGGCTGTAATTACAGTATTCTATGTGCATTCCATACAATGTATATATTGTATATTGTGCATTATACTGCTGGCAAGGCTGTTGTCCAGAGGCTGTTGATTCTTCAGTTTAAAGCCTGTTTTTTTCCAGAGGTTTCACTTCCCGTAAAAGTCTATTCTGGGCTGAAACTCCCTGTGCCAAGTCTTAGGCCAAGATTGAAATTTCTTGTATGAAATTTTATTTTGAGCCGGTTGGAATGTTGTTCCAGAAGGTGGATAAGGGCTCGGAGTGAAGGCTGTGTCTTGTATGGTGTGAGCAAATCTGACTCCTAAAGAACTTAAATTCTGGGTAACCATTTGTAGAGGTGCAAAATGCTGCCATTCTCAGCTGGGTTTTAACCCCTTTCCCTTATAACCAAGGGCAGATTGCTCTTGGTATTGGCCTGTACATGATCATCATGGCCTGGGTTTGAGTATTGGGAAGGTTTTGGTGTCCAGCTGCAGACCTGGAGCAGTAAATGCTGAAGGAAGTTGGGTTTTGCACAGTTTATTTTAGTCCCTTTCTGGCTCCCAGAAAAGGCAGGTCTCTAAATTAGGTGCTCTGAATTACTGCTAAAGGGCTTCCCTGGCAGGGAATCTGGGCTGTAGCGTTAGATGATGCAAATGCATCATCCTTGTGCTTTTCCACAGGTTTATTGATGCAGGCACATGGTTTCCAGTAAATATGCTGTGTATCTCCTCAGCCTGCTGCCTGCATGAGAAAAATAGATCCAAACAGGAGCAGGAGACGGACACAAGTGGGACTCAAGTTGGTTAAAAAGCAGATGGTAAGTCCAAAGGGAAATGTAAAATGATTTGGTTTTCTCTGTGCTTGACCCTGAACGATTTATGTGATTTGGCTCCTGGTTCCCAAAGGGCTCCGCAGAGCTTTGATGAAAAAAGAAACAGTGAAAGAGCAGCTGCTTTACCTGAAGCTTCTGCATCAGTGCACAAAATCATTCCAGCATTCCTGGGCTTCCTGAAAGCTCTCTGCAGACTGGGAAGAGCAGTCAGAGCAGGCTCTTCCCAGCTGTGACAGAAAAGCCAGAGTGGATGGAAGGGTCACATCCACCAAACTGAAACTCGAGAACAGTGTTCCATCTCTGGCCATTTATTTGTTGTCTTGATACTGAGCTTGTTCTCCTCTCTCTGCACAGCACAAGAAAGGATGGGCAGGACCTCCCCTGTTTAATTGCAAGAAACAGCCTGCTCTGATGGAAGCATCTCCCTCCTGCTCTGCTCCACATCCAGGTGCAGCAGGTTTTGCACAGGATGCACAGGGATGCTCCCTGAATTTGGAAATGGTCCTCTGGGATTTTAATGCTTACTTCTTTTTTGTTTTTCTTCTCTTCACTTTTGAAAGGCTGAGTCACACAAAGAAAGAAAAGGAAGAAAGGAAAGAAAGGAAATTCAGTCAGTCATGTTTCCTTTCTGGAGTGTTTTCTTTCTGGATGAATTAATGCATTACCACTGCAGTGCATTGAACTGTGCTTCCATAATATCCTGTTTACTCAATTCCTTAGGTGAGCACCTGTGCACAACTTTCTTTTTCAATGAAAGGAGACCCTTTAAACAGAAAGTGGAAGAAATGGCACAGCCTGGCAGGGAGGAAGTACCATTCTGCATGTGCTGCTGTGGCTTTGGAGCTGCTCCCGATGTGATGCAGAATCCATCAGCCCGAAGTGATGAGGGCTGGAACAAAATGATCTTTAAGGTCTTTTCCAACCCAAACCATTCCATGATTCTGTAATAAATCTTTGCTCAGAAGTGTAATTTGGACGGGTTTGTGGTGCCCACTGCTTGCAAACACACCAACCATCCCAATCTCAGTGCAGATTCCTTTTGGTCTGGAACAAATTACATCACCCTCGGCTTTTTGTGTCTATAAAGGGAGATGATGTTTAAGGCACCTGAGCACGCAGGGCTGTTGTAAAACTGAATTAAGTGGTGGTTTTAATGTGCTTTGAAGATGAAAAGCATCACAGTGCTTTAGGTGCTAATTGCTCTCTGGAGCTTCTCTCCCCGTGCTGCAGGTTGGATTTGACTCTCAGGTGCTGTGGTTGGTGGTTCTCTGGCTGCAGCAGCACCCAGGGCCGGGGGTGTCCCACCCATCTGACAGTAAAACACCTTTTAGGGGATGTCATCCTCCCATATGACACAGCCTGATGGCCACAGCCCCTTCAAAACCCTTCCCCTGCTCTGTGAGGACCTTCCACATTTCCTGGCCAGGAACTGTGCTGGGGGGTCCTTGCTGCAGATCCTGAGCTCTGAGCTCTTCCCTGCAGGGACAGAGCTTGAGGTGAGTAAAGCTGTGAACCTCTTAGGGAGGAGTTGTTGGGCTAAAATACCCTAAACTCCAAGGAGTTCCAAACTTGGCAAAATCATGGAATGGTTTGGGTTGGAAGGGACCTTGGAGACCACCTTGTTCCCACTCCCTGGAATGGTCAGGGACACCTTCCACTAGACCAGAAAGAAGTAGAATATGAATATGAGCACTTAAAACTTTTGAAGTATAAACAGAGACCACAACAAACATCAAAGTGACCAGAAGAATTCAGCCCCAGACAGGCTTCTATTCTGTGTAATGCTTGATGGATGAAGATAAGAAGTTTTGGTTTGTTTTTTTTTTTTAATTGAAGTTCTAGTTATGTCATTGTATTTATTCAGTATTCATAAGGCAAAACTGAAGGGCATTATTTAATTAGAGGGTTAACTGATTCTCTTTGTTGAGGTGGAAACAAATGGTGGAAGAAAAAAAAAAAAGGAAGTTTCCATGAGATTTGTGCTGCTGTGGGGCTGCAGCACAGGGTGCTTGTGCCCAATGGGGGTTCTGGGACCAGGCTGGGGCTTGAATCCTGGATATTCCCAGGTGAAGATGAGCATGGCTGTGATCCCTACCCCTGCAAACAGTGCTTCTCACTTCAAACCGTGCCGTGAGACTCCATTCTTCTTTCCAGACGAGGACACGGTCTCCTGACTGTTTCCAAGGAAAAACGTGGATTCCATACTGCGGTTGCAGAGCTGTGCATCAGCACGGCCGGGCGTGACGCTCGCGCGGCTCCTCAGGTGCACAAAACAACGCGGACAAGGAATTCCAAACCCTCCTCCATCCTCCGCAGGGACCCAGAGCGCTCGGTCCGAGGCAGACGGTGTTTTCCCGAGCGCTGGATGCAGCGTCTCTGCGGCAGAACCCGGGATGCTCGGAGGCACCGCCGGGTTTGATGTTCGGCTCAGCCTTTCCCAGCGGCTCGCAGGAGGCGTTTTAGGAAAAACGAGCACGTCGGATTGCGCTCCCGGCGACGGGAACAGGGTGATTAACATCGCAGCGGGTTTGATCACATCCCAATGTCAGCAAAAGGATGGTCACGGACTCAGGCCCGTCCGGAGGGGGACAGGGACGCTGGCCGGAGGGGGAATAACTCGGTGGGAACCAGCAGCCGCCCGTAAATGACAGGAATTCGGCGTTTGTATTCAGGGCAGCGTTTTCAATGTTTTAATTATGTTTTTGGGTAATGCAATAAAATCCTGGCGACCTCCTGGATGCAGGCAGGAGACGGCAGCACTGGACGGAGGGAGGTGGCTCCCACCCAGCCTTAAATCCCTGAGCCCCTGGGACTATTTTCCAGCCCCTTTCCTCTGCTCCTCAGCGAGGTTGTGCTGGGAGGCAGAGTGGGGGTGTCCCTGTCCTGTCTCCAGACAGGAAGGGGTCTCGGGGAGGGGGGGTCTCCCGGAGGATGGGGTCTCCGAGAGGGGAAATCCCTGGGAGGAGGGAGTCCTTGGAAGGTAAGGTCACTTGGAGGATGGGGTACCTGGCAAGGTGGGTCCCGGGTCCCTGGGATGGGGGGTCCCCGGGAAAGGGATGCTCAGGAGGGATGGGGTCATCCGGAGAAGGGGGTCCCCGGGAGAAGAGAGACCTCGGGAGGGGTGGTCACCCATTGGATGGGGTCACCGGGATGGGGGGACCGCGAGAGAGGTGGTCACCTGGAGAATGGAGTCCCCGAGAGGAGAGTCCTTGGAAAACGGGGGTCACCCGGAGGACGGGGTCCCTGGGAGGGGAGTCCTCAGGAGGGGAGGGATCCTCGGGCGTGGAGAGTGGGTCACTCGGAGGATGGGGTGCTCGGTAGGGGGGTCCCCGGGTGGAAAAGGGGGTCCCGGGAGCGGAGGTATCCCCGGGAGGGGAGGAAGGTCACCAGGAGGGAGGGGGATGTCCCGGCACTACCGATGGACACGGCAGCCCTGCCCGGGTGCCGCGGGGATGCGGGGCCGGGGCGGAGGATGGGGAGCCTTGCTCCATCCCGCTCCATCCCGTTCCATCCCGTTCCATCCCGCTCCGCTCCGCCCCGGGACAGCGGTCCAGCCCCTCGGAGCGCCGGGCGGAGCGGACGGGGGGTACCCAGGGGTACCAGAGGTAAGGGGAGATACCACAGGGTACCAAGAGTCTGCCGACCCCGCTCCGCTGCGGAGGAAGGCGGGACCGGGGCGGGGGGAACGGCCCCGCCCGGGGTGGGTCAAACGGGAAGGGGAAGGAGCGGAGAGGAAGAGGAGGAGTTGGGCTGCACCTGAAATGCGCGTCATTACTCCGGAGTACGGGCTGGGTTGGTGAGGGCTGTCCGTGCTGAGGTTCCGTGGCTGCGCGAAAAATGGTGAGAAAACCACGTTTAAAGGGGTTTGGGCTGGGGAAAAAAAAGGGAGAAATGGAAATCCGAATGAGCGTCCTCCCCCCGAGACCTGGGAGGGCCCCCGGAGGCGGCGGGCTGGGGCGCGGCAGGGATGCAGGAGGATGCTCGGGGATGCAGGAGGATGCTCGGGGATGCAGGAGGATGCTCGGGGATGCTGCGGGACCGGGAGCTGGGCTGAAACAGCCCGGCCTGGCTCTGCTCCGTGTCATTCCTTGACCCCGCAGTGGAACGAGGATGAGTTTGGAGGGAAGAGGTTTGCGGTTGCGGGGCTCCAAGCACGGCTGGGCTTCCCCTTGGGGGTCAGATAAGGCAGAAAATTCAGCCCGTTTTTAGAGATCCATAAATAGAGCATCTCGCTTTATTATTGTGTATTATTATATTCGCAATTTAAATAATTGAAGAGCAGTAAAGAGCACATCAGAGTTTTGCTTAAGTACCATTTCAGCTGCCGTCTTCTTGCAGCAAGATCAATAATCTTATTTTCTGACCCTTCTGCAGGTGTTGTTCACTGATAAGTTATTTTTTCCTCAAGCCACGGCTCAATTAGCTGAGGCTCTCACCCTCCTTGTTTGGTTTTCTTTCGGTTTTCCTTTTTTTCTTTTTTTAGCTTAAAAGACAAAGAAAACATGATGTGCAGCACTAAGTCATCATCTGACCTTTAAAGACCGTTGCCAGGCTGAGTCTGGGGAAGGGAGGGGAGCTTTCCCAAGTATCAGCTGAGCATTATTTAAGAAGCATTGGCATCTCCCGTGTGGAATTAAAGCCCAAACCCAGTCATTTCCTTGAGATTGCTTTGATCGAGATGCCCACAAGCAGTTGTGTGTCACCTGCTTCCCTTGTCAGTGCAAATCATAAGTCTCTGCTTAAATTGGGGGAGCATTTCATAGGTTCAGAGTGTTTTCATTTTGTCCAGAATTATTCAATTAAATGCCTTGGCAGCTTTTTCTGCTCAGCCTACATGCTCATTTTCTTCATCTGGAGTTTCACGGAGGATTTGGGGTTGTTTTTTTTATCCCAAATACAGTTTTTTGCCGTGTAAGCGATGCTTCTTCAGTGTCCATCATCATGTAGCTTCAGTTGCTTACGTGGAGGTGGCATGTGTAGTATGAAAAGTTAATTAACATTCTTAAAATGACCCTTCCTCCAACCTAGGTGATGTAAATTAAAGCGTGGCAGCGTTCCAGTGAAGATGTGGGAGTGTTTTGGTTTTTATAAGCGGAATTAAAATAATTAGAGAAACAGTAACTGGCACCGGTGGTTGAATGTGATTAAATCATCTTGGCCAAATTTTAGATTTCATTAAAACAGAGCAGTGTGGCTGAGGGAAGGGGTTGCTGTGTCAGACCATCGGGCTTCTTTTCTAATAAGTGCTTTTGAAATGTGCTCCTGAGAGCAAACAGTGGCAGTCCCTCCACTTGGAGGACGTGCTGTGAGCAGAGGGGAGAAAGACAGTGTTTTTTATGACCTGTAAGCAATAACTGCTGCTTTTGATTATTTTTAAAACACTCTGCTGTCAGTGTGAAGCGTTCCTTCCTCGAAAATATCCGGAGGAGTTGTACTCATTTTTCCTGCAGGACTTAGTTACTATCACGAGTTGTAGCTTAAGCATTTTGTGGTTGGATTTTTCCTTTTTTTTTTTTTTTTTAAGCGAAATATTATTTTTTTTCCCTTTAAATTTTATTTTCACGTTTGAAGTAGATTTGGTGTGACTCTAAGGGCAGCACTCCGGGCTGGAGGTGGGATTCCTTCCCAGGGCTTCTCTTTCAGTGGTGAGCAGCTGTGGCCCACGTGGGTCCTCGTGCTGCCGGGGGGTCACTGCTCCCTGGAGGACCCCAAAACGCATCAGGGGAGCTGGGAGCGGGGGGGTTTGGTCCCTTTTAGCCCCTCTCTCCTCCCTCCTGCACTCAGACACAGGCTCTCAGTGCTGTCTCTGTAAGGTGTTTGTGTGTTTGAAGTTCTCCCAGCTCAGTTTGGCAGGGCTGACATCTGAGCAACCTCCAGTGAGATGCTGTCTGGGCTCCAAAAATAGATTTCCGTATTAAAATACAGCCAGGGCAGGAAGTTTGAGCCATGTGGTGTCTAACAGATAACACAGAAACCAGGTCCTGCTGTTGCCAAATACCTCCAAAATCATTGGGATAAATAGAGTCTCTAACACTGTCTTTTTAGTGTTAGAAAGCAAGGCATTATTTTTGTTTTCAGTGCTGGGCGTGTACGTGGCCAACAAAACTCCTGCCTCCACACAGACACCAACACATCACTTTTTCACCTATTTGTACATTTTTAGCAAACAAAGAAATTAATATTCATTGGTTCTTAATTACAGAATTCTCTTTCATTAGTTAGTATTCTGCCTTCTATTGGTTATTAATTTCTCAATTTCTGTTCTAATTAAGGCCACATTTGTGGTCTTTTTGGTATCTTTTTCCCCAGTAGGGACTTCCAACACTTACACTGAATTCTTTGTTAGTTCTTTCATCTTCTGATTTCTGCAAAAGGACCTTGTAGGTCATAAATCCGTGTCCCAAATGTCCAATTTCAACAATGCATCTTTCTCTCTCCCGGGCTTTGTCCATTGAAGCATATCAAGGTTAACTTTAGCAAAACTTAAGAGTTTTAGTACTTTTCCCAAGCTGTGTCCTCACAGAAGTCGCTCATGACAACTTTCTGCTGTGTGCTGGCTAGAAGTGATTTAAGGCCTAACATGCAACCTGTGATTAATTAAAGCAACTGACCGATAGGTTAATTAGGCTCATTAAAAAGTTAGAAAAGCGATGTCATTTCCAACCACTGCTGCAGAGCTGCCGGGAGTACTCGGGCACCAGGAACATCAGCCCGCCTCTGGAATGAGTGTTGGTAGCTGCAAAGCCTGGAATATGGATGAATTCCTAAAATCTGCACTGAGTTTTGGCCGAAGAGCCGAGGAGTGACTCAGTTGTGGGGTCACACAGACTGGGGGGGTGCGGGTGGGGTTGGAAGGGTGGCGGCCGCGGCCGCGGGGCTGTGCCGGTGCTCTGCTGTCCCTGCCCGGGCAGCTCACGGTTGTTTTTCACCTTCACAGATGAAATATTCCAACATCCGCAGGTGAGGAAGCAGCGGGAGATGCGGATTGACCCATAACTCCAAACCTGAGGCAGCAAAAGCGGTGGCAAAACCGCGGAGAGAAACCTTCCGGGCCCCCAACCCGCCGCCCATCAGCGGGTACGTGCAGGCCGCTGTCTCCCCCAAAAGCCTTTTTTAATTGGATTTAAGCATTTTCCCCTTTCCAGAAGGTCTCCCTGGGCTCTCCTGTGCTGTGCAGCCGGGCTAATGAAAAGGTTAAAGTGTAATGGGAAGGGAACTAAGCGGTGCTGGACGCGCTCCAGGATGGAAGGGGGTTACTCACGGTAAATTGAACAGCTCGCCCGGGGTGAGCTGGCTCTGGCTCTCGGATGCATCGCCCTGGCTGGATGCCCTCGTCTCCTGCCATGGATGCTGGAATTCTGCTCCCGGAGAAACGCTTGGGTTTGTAGTTTATGTGGAAAAAAACAAGCCCAGGTTAGGTCAAGTCTGGCGAGGTCGCCTAGAGCTGGTCCTGCCCTTGGTTGGCTCAGGGGCATTCCCAAGGCGTCTTCTGCCTGGATTCCCAGCTGGATTCCCCGGCTCTAAAGGAGCATCACTGATTTCTCCATGTAACAGACACCCAGCATATGTATCAGGAGGCATTTGAAATAGGAAAAAACTGAAAATAAAACGCTTCTACGAAAATGTAAAAATAGGAGGCGCCGAAAGCTGCGACCGCCCAGCTTTGGATTTTTAAATTGTATTGTCACTTAATATTGATTTGTTTGCTTTTTCCAAACTAGTCTTGAAAAATGGCACCAGCTGCTCCCAGAGAAGCAGGAGTATGGAGACAAACCCGAGCTCTCCTGTTCAAGAACTGTCTTATTAAGGGAAGGACTAAGAAAAGCAGTGTCCAGGTAAGGGGGGAGTCCTTGGGTCCTGCTGCTGGTGCATCCACAGTTATTCTGTGCTTAAATAACTCCCAAATCAGACACAACACTTGGTTTTATTGTGATATTTACAAAGCTTCGTGGTCTGCATTGAATTTTGGGTTGAAACAGGCTTTTTTTTGAAGATGTTTTGTGATCCTTTGGTTGAAGATGTATCCTAATGTGTAAGGCTTTATACAGGAAAAATAAAATTATAGATACAGACAATATAGAAATATTAGTTAATGTGTTAATAACTAGTTAACCTATTAATACTATACATACTGTTGTATATATCTATACATATTTATAACATAATATAATTAATAGTAATTAAAATGTCCTTGAATATTGCCATCTTAGTGCACCTTGACAAGCATTTGCACCTGTAATTACACAGAATAGCAGGGTGAGACCTCCCCAAAAGATTTTTACCTTTTCTAACAGTTCAGCCCTGTGTGTGGGTGGTGTGATGGTACTTGAGGATGAATTTTGAGGAGAAGAAGAGACTGTGCAGTGCTTGGCTGGGCTCATTTAGTGGTTCACAGCTTGTGTTTTGCCTCTTCCCAAAGAGCACGAGTTTGCAGATGTTTAAAACTTGTAGAATTGTCCCTTTGGGCCTTAAAATGGCTTCTTAGGTTACTAATGCAGGCGATTAAAATCCTGCCTCAGCGCCAGGGAAGGATTTGGCATTAAAGTTGCTGTTGCATTGAAAACATCCAGGGAATTTCACAGTCGAGAAACTGAGCTCATGATCCCTCCTTTGAGCTTTGTGCAGGAGAAACCTGGGGAAGGTTTTATTTCCACGACTGCCCTTTGAAATGCTCATTTTTTGTCCTTTGTGCAGGAGGTCCTTTTCCCCCTGTTTTTCCTGTTTTGGCTCATCCTGATGAGCATGATGCACCCACACAGGAAGTACGACGAGGTGCCCAACGCCAACCTGGACACCCTGGAAACCTCCCAGCTGCTGAACTTCGTCATTGGGTACACGCCACCCACCCGGATGGCACGAGAAATCATGAAGAAAGTGGCCTCTGATAACTTTGAGGATGGTATTCACACCCTAAACGTTGCATTTTTCTCCCTAAATCCCGCTCTGTGACTTGTGTTTGGAGAGGGAGCTCACAGGTGCTGCTAGTAGGAAAAATCCATTTATTTTCCATCTGAGTGAAGGCTTTGGTGGTTTTTTTTTTTGTTGTTGTTGTTTTTCCTTGGGTGACAAATGTTCTGGCACTGCCATCTTGAAGTGATTCCCATTCTGCTGGTGCAGCCAAAGTGTTCTGTGGCTGCAGGGAAAGGTTTGGATACAAAAAACCCCTGAGCAGCTCTAGGGCTGATTGACACCTGTCCTGTCACACCCTGGGGCAAAGTCAGGAGGTGGTGCTGTCCCAGGTTGTGTTTTCTATCCTGGTGTCACTATGAAAACAGTATTTTTAATTTTTTTAAAATGCTTTTTCTCATTAACACTTTGTCACCTTTTCTCCTGAAAGCAATTTTCCTTTTCTTTTGCCTTTTTTTCCCCCCTGATTGGGTTTTTTCCCCCTGTTTGTTTTTTCCTCTTTTTCTCCTTGTTTGGTTTTTTCCACACTTGTTTGGGTTTTCCTGTTTATTATTTTTCTTCCATTTGTTTGTGCTTTCCTTGTTTGTTTTTCCTGGGTTTTGTTTATTTCCCCCATTTGTTTGGGTTCTTTCCTATTTGTTTTTCCATTCGTTTGGATTTTTCTATTTGTTTGGGTTTTTAATTTCTCTGTGTTTTTCTATTTGTTTGGGTTTTTCTCCTTGTTTTTTTTTCCTATTTTTTTCTTCTATTTCTTTTTTTTTTCTCCAGTGCTCTACCTGCACACCTCACACATATAACAGGAACTTATCTCTCCAAACCCACTGATGTATTTTTAATTTGATATCTTTGATTCTCCTCTTTGTGTTCCTCCTGCTTCAGAGGAACCTGGCCTTGGACACTTCCAGGGATTGAGCATCCACAGCTTCTCTGGGCAACCTGTGCCAGGGCCTCCCCACCCTCACAGGGAAGAATTCTTCCTAAAATCTATTCTAAACCTACTCCCTGTCAGTTTGAAGCCATTCCCCCTTGTCCTTTCATACATATATACATTTATATATCTCCAAACTCAAGTGATTAATGATTAACACGATACTTTAAAACTGTTGCACATTTTTTTTCTCCCTGCTGTGCCAATACCTAAATCAACATGATAATTTCTTAATATCTCTCAGGCATCATCACTGAGGAGTACTTAAGTGAGGAGGAGCTGCAAGAGGCCAGTGCTGTCAAACCCTCCAACTTCGTGGGGGTCGTGTTCAAGGATTCCATGTCCTACCAGCTGAGGTTCCACGACTCCATTGCCATGTCCTCCATTTATACGGAATCCAGAGGTAAATGTGAGCTCTCTCACACGTGCTCTGCAGGGGGATAAACTGGAAAATCATTTTCTATTTTTGTTTTCAGGCCTGGTGTTGCATATATTGATTTATGGAGGTTGTTTGCAGCACTGTCGGGGATGGCCTCGAGCTGCGCTGGGGACAGGGCAGGTGTAGCTCTGGTTTTTGGCATTTTAACACAGAGCCAGGGAATCTTAGAGTGGCCTGGGCTGAAGGGGACTTTATGGATCATCATTCCCTGCTTTATTCTGCAGCCAGCTGCTCCAACCTGGGGAAGGGCTGTGAGTCAGTGACCTACTGGAGCTCGGGATTCACGGCGCTCCAGGCCTGTATTGATGCTGCCATTATACAGGTAACTCTGGAAAAAAACATCATAAACCCAGGGAAGGTCAGCTCCAGGGGCTGCCTTGGCTCTGGTTGCTTGTCTGATGTTGGCTGTTAGTTGTGGGAAAGGCCATATCAGAAGTCATCTGGACCCTGATGAGAAGGCAGAATGTTTTGGCTGTGCTTTGCTGTATTTTGTGTGAAATTGTTCTCGTTGGGCTGAATAATGTGGATGTTTGTCTCTAACTGCATCCAAATGAGCCTGAACACCCATCACAGCAGTCCTCAAAACACAAAGGCTCACAGTGCTCACCCCAAAATGCCATTTCAGGTGCTGTCCTAAAAGGGCTGCAGAATTTGCCTTGTTTTGGTGTCAGTGTTGATCAGCAATTTTTCCCAGTTCCCCTCCCCTCATCCCACTCAAGGTGAGAGCAAATTTCATCTTTTCAAGGGCTAGAAATCTCACATTTGCTAATTTTGTCTCCAGGTGTTCAGATATTCTCTGGGTTTTCTGCTTTTGGATTGGGATTTGGGGTCTTCAGATCCCTCCCTGCCAGCGGGGATGGGGATGGAGCTGAGCTGGAGTCTGGGATGGGGCTGAAAAATCAGGAGCAATCCCAAAATAACTCTTCCTTCTCTCCCCTTCAGCTGAAGACGAATCAGTCGGTTTGGGAACAGCTTGAACTGACGAGAGCAGTGGTTATGGGAGAGGCTGCTGTGGTGGAAATAGATAATTTCCCCCGTGCAATCATTTTAATTTACCTGGTGATCGCCTTCTCCCCGTTTGGGTATTATTTGGCAATTCATATTGTGGCAGAAAAGGAGAGGAAGTTGAAGGAATTCCTGAAGATATTGGGACTCCATGACACTGCCTTCTGGTATGGGAGTGTTTAGTATAACTTGTTCTTTATAAAAGAATTATAGATATATATAAAGAATTATTTTTAAAAAAAACACTTTCTAGGAAAACTCTTCCATCCTTCATTTTTGAAATTGTTTTCAGTCTGATTAACTGAAAACAACCAGAAAGGGAAATATTCTGTAAAATCAAACGTAGAGGCACTTGCAGTATCATGAAAATATGAATATTTTAGTAAGTAAACACCAGAGTAATACTGTTGCATTTATGCATGTAAAGCTGTGCCAGACTTAGAGGGATCAAATCTGATGATGTGTGAGATTTTTATGTAGGTTTTTCATTCTCTTCTAAATATTTTTGGCTCAGTACCTCCTTTCCTAGAGGCTCAAGAGGTAACCTGCAGTCTGTTCAGAGCTTAGCAGCAGTTTCCCTGACACGTAATTAAATGAATCCAACTCTGTAATTTTAAAAAGACAGAGTAGTCGAAGCAACAGGTTTTAATTTGTTTCCTTACTGCCATGGAAATTGTCCTGTGCAATACAATGTTTTATTTTTTCCCCACATGAGAGGATGTGCTAATTTGAAATCACTGATAGCTGAAGAGATAAAACCAGATCTGGCTTTGCCCTTTCCTGCAGTGTTCTCACATCTGTCCCCACTGCACCGAAACAGCCACCTGGGCTTGTTGGAATTATTTCTTTTTTTCTCTACTTCTGAGGAAATGTGTCATTTTTTTACTACCTGTACACAAACCACCCTTGCTTCCTGAGGTCAGAGTTGCTGACAGGCTCACAGCTCTGCTTTTCAGAAGGAAAGGATTTTATTACCCTGCCCGGTGACTGGAATGACTAGTGGATTAAATTTTAAATAGAATTTCTTGAATTATTGAAACCTACGACTCTGTTACTCTCTTTTGGTTATACCAGGGAATTAACTATGCAAGTTTTAAAAAAAAATAAATAATAGTGAATCATCTAATTGTGTGTCTTTAGCTGCTGTGGGTATCTGTGTGCGCTCTAGTGCCAAGAACAATTCCAGGGGTGTTTACAAGAGCTCTTTTATTTGGGGGCTCTTGTTTTGTTCCAAGCTTGGCCTTTGGTGCAGCTGTCTGGAATATTAAAGAATGGTGGGTTTAGCTATTTGTGTGGCCTGTTCAGGCTGGGGATTCATTGCCTGGTTTCTGTTCTTTCCCCCCTTTTGTTCCTAGGCTTTCCTGGGTGCTGCTCTACGTGAGCCTGATTTTTGTCATGTCCATTCTCATGGCAGTGATCGCCACAGCCTCCTCCCTCTTTCCCCAGAGCAGTGCCTTTGTGATATTTCTCCTTTTTTTCCTGTATGGAGTCTCCTCAGTAAGTATTCCTGGTCTTGTTGAATTCAGCCACCCCATCCCTGTGGGTTTTGTTCCCTTCCCACCTGATCTTGTTCTCTCTCCTAAAGCATTTGGGACAAGTGTTGCTTCTGTAGGACCAAAGAGTGCTGGGGGTCTGACCTGTCCCATCTCCTTCCTTGGCTCTTCTCCAGTTCAGGATGTTCTGCAGGTGTCACCCATCACTGTGGGAAAGACATTTCCCTACTGAAATATCTGGGTTTATAATAATCAGTCTTTGAACTGAAAACACTGTACAGAACCATTTTGCAGTCCCAACCCACATCCTTTTCAAAACATTTGTTGTTACTATATAGTGTAATGCTAAAACCCTAATTAAAGCTCAGAGAACTATATTAGAATATATTATAAATGTATTTATGTAGCTTGTCTGGGTTTATAAGCAGCCAGTGCCCAAGTAGGTATTTGTTTGCTGTCACTGGCAGAAGGGACACTCACCAGGGTGGAGGTGCACACTCAGCTCTATAAAAGCAAAATTAGGAGCCATCATTATTTTCTGTGCTCTGTCTCCTGGCATCTCTGGGGAATCTGTCAATCCTGATGCTCTGGAGGGATATAAAAGCTGTGTAGGTGTGGCACTTAAGGACATGTTTCAGTGGTGGCCTTGGCAGTGCTGGGGAAGCTGTTGGACTCTGATCTGAAAGCTCTTTTCCACACAAAATGATTCCATGATTTTGTGAATCAGTTGTGACTATACCAGGAAAACAATATCAGAGGCAAAATGGCATTTCACCTTAGTTTTTCTATACCTGTATTATTAGTTTTAAAACAGCACCTTCCTCTCTGTTTTTTGCCCTCAGGTTTTCTTCGCCCTCATGTTGACACCTCTATTTAAAAAGTCAAAGCACGTGGGCATAGTGGAGTTCTTGGCCACGCTGGCTTTTGGCTTTGTGGGCCTTAACATCGTCCTGCTGGAGGATTTCCCCAAATCTTTCGTGTGGTTTCTCAGCCCTTTGTGTCAGTGCAGCTTCTTGATCGGTGTCGCGCAGGTAAAGAACCACCAGCTCCTCATCACCCCCTTGTCATGGATCATTTTCAAATAGATCTTGATGGAGATACTCTTAAACAGTTATTTTATTTCTAATAAACTGATGATGGTGGGGGAAAATGCCTGTTTTAATAACTTCCCCTGGGAGTTTGATATCAAGCCCCATCAAGGATCTGTTATTCTTGGGGTTTGTTGCTGTGATCTCTGTCACTTCCTCATTATTTTTGTTTCTTTTGCCAAGTTTTGCACTGTGCTGTCCTGTCTTTCAGGCTGGCCCAGTGCTGGTGTGTAACATTTCCCTCTCCCTGTGCAGGTCATGCATCTGGAAGATTATGAAGATGGGGCAACATTTGCAAATATAAATGATGGTCCTTACCCGCTCTGTATCTCTCTTATTTTGTTGGTGCTGGACAGCATCTTTTACCTGCTTGTAGCTGTGTACCTTGACCAGGTTATCCCAGGTATGTTCCCAAGAGCTGAACTGTGCAAGGATCACCAATTCCTGCAGTCCTGAGCCCCCCCCCAGTTTGGTGGCATCTCTCCCTTAAATTCAGCTGTGGAGAAAGGAGGTGATGCTGTTTGCAGATAGATTTTTATGCTGTGACTCAGAATACTTTCAGCTGAAATAATTTATATTCTGTTAAAGTTGTGAGGTGTGAGGAGGGGTTTTGGCATGTTGAGAATTGCTGGCCCTAAAAAGTGAAATTTTTCCCTCTTTCTAGAGGAAAAACTTCCTTACTGGGCTAATGAATGCTTCAGCCTTTAAAATTTGCTCTTTGAGGGTTGAAAATCAAAGACTCCTCTGCCTGTTCCAGACCTTTCCCTGTGACAGAAGTACTTTAACATGAAACACAGAATAAAGTTGTTAATCTTACGACTAAATCCTGGTTAAGCCCCTCAGCTCCGTTCACCTCTGATCCCTCTGGATTTGTATTACTGTGTTTAAGTCACCATTTTTTCAGTCCTGGGGATTTCTCTTGCACAGAGGGGAGATTTGCACATATATTTAAACTCCTGGCCAACCTGGCCAGCAGTGTTGATGGGAGCAGTGGCTTAAGTGCAGGTGGTTAAACTCTGCTGAAGAAACCCCCCTGGAGCAGAGGTGCAGGGTGGCTCATGGACCTCTCACAGGAGAGCTCGTGGCTTTTGGTGCTAAAACCCAAAAGCTGAGGGATATCTGACGGGAAGCTGTGGGTTTTCCCTGTGTTCTCCAGGGGAGTTCGGGCTGCGCCGCACCCCGCTGTTCTTCATGAAACCCTCGTTTTGGTCCAAGCACAGGAAGAATTACAAGGAGTTGTACGAGAGCAGCGTCAACGGCAGCTTGAGCTTCAGCGAGATCGTGGAGCCCGTGCCTTCGGAATTCCAGGGGAAAGAAGCCATCAGGTACAGCCCCCACGTGCAGATGAGCAGATCACCTGGGCTCCCCGGGAATTTTTTTTTTTTTAACGTGGGATTTGAAAATCCCCTCTCAGTTCTGCGCCCGTTGGATTCAAATAGCATATGGTATGCATTGCAGAGAGCCCAGCGCGGCTCCTTCCCGGTGAATCCCCACCAAAGTGGATGCTCTCCAAGGATAAATCACTGGGCTTAAAGGGAGGGTTGGTTTGTGGATGGTTTTCCTTTGGTTGGAGTCCTCTCCAGCCTGGCTGGTTTTCCGTTCCCTCCGTTTCACTGAGGCCACAGGCGGCGTAAGCGGTTGCAGATGTTGGAGCGTCTGCTCTGCTCTGGGAGGGTTCAGTTTCTGGTAATGCATATTTTAGGACAAAAAGCTGAATTCTAGGGTTGTGTGAAGGCTGTGGTGATCTCCACAGACCAGAGGGGAACTTGGTGGTGGTTTTATCCGGCTGCCACATATGAGAGTGTAAAAGGAAACTGAGAAATAGATGTCCCCACTCTCATCTTTCGTGCTGTGCTGTGTGTCACCTGCTGTCTTGCATCTGGATTGTCATGTGCTTTGTGGTGTTTCTTGGATGTTATTTTCAATGTCTTCCTTTGAGCCCTTGTTGCCATCATTTTCCAGTGGCAAAGCCTGATGGGAGATGGGGAGCTCTGCATCTTCCCTCCTGGTTGGCTCCACTAGTCTCAAATAAATATTTGAGCTCAGTGACCAGAAGGACTCTTGTCCACACCATCCATGTCTCTTTGGGCACCTGCCATGGGTTCAAGGGTCCAGTTTTAATCCTGATGTTCACATGAGAACCTTGTGGCTGTTGTTGCATTAAGTCCATCCAGCCTGGACTCTTCCCATATCATCCCTTCAGCAGCTCTCTAGAATTTTCACACTATCTTGTCATCTTTACATGTGCAGGTTTTGTTTTCTTTCATACCCAGTTCTCCTCCCCGCTTCTCACCCATAGCCCACTCCCATCCTCATTTCCAGGGCAGCCAGGCTTCCAAAACCCATCCTGAAGGATGGGTGCCTTCAGGTTTTTCTCATTTGGAAAACCAGTGGGGCTGGAAGGAAGGTTTTTACCTTTCTTGGAGAGAAAGAGACCTGCTTTCTTTTACCTAATTTTGATGAAGAGCTGTCAGAAATCACATCTTTGGAGTCTGTTCTACTAATGCCTCTTTTCTTTATCATATCTGTGGAATCTTTTGTGGTATTGTGCAACCACTGGGGAGTAGCTGTTCCCTTTTCTACCTTGAGAAACCTCTAGTGTGTTGTTCTACCATCTGAAAGAGACACAGATTTTAAATAATTCAATTTGTCAACAGAGGAAATACCTTAGAAGGTGATCAGAAAAAGCTTTCTGATGCCAGGGTGGAGATGGGCAGAGCTCATCAAGATGTCCTGTCTCTTGACGTGCCTTGATGGGTCTTGAACGTGTCTGGTGCCAGTTTGGTCTGATCATCTTGTTGTGACTGTTGCCAAGTACTGATCATTCAAAATGACATACAAAGATCCTGAAACAGTTTATACAATGACATGTCTTCTTTCAGAATCAGCTGTGTTCAGAAAACATTCAGGAAAAAGGGGGAAACTGTGGAGGCTCTCAGAAGTAAGAACATTTTAGCTTTTTAGCTGCTTGTCAGATGCAGAGGAGCAATAGCTGAATTGCTGAGTGATCTTTTGTGTTTCAGTTCAGGCTTTTTTGGTTTCTTTTAGAGGGGTGGGACCTTGGAGCGTGAATGCCAGATGTGCCTGTGTGTGTATTCTCTCACAGCTTGGGCAGTAATCTTGTTTAGAACAGTACCCCAAGAAGTGAACCCTTATCACTAAGGAAAGCCTGCTGGTATCATCCCTGTTATTCCTCCTCTGCCCTTGTAGTGATATGATCTTCCCTGCCCCTTCTCCCTGATATTTTCATCTTGTTTCCCTGTGTGGCTTTTAGATGTGGGTGCAGGGCCTGTGCCGTGCCCGGCCGTGGAGGTAAGGTGTGCCCCCAGCAGAGTGTGAATGCATACCCCATATGTTAGTATTTGAATTTACCTCTGCCTTGGGAGCTGGCTCCAGGTGCCAGGAACACATCCCTGACATCTCCTCTTCCTCTGCCCCGGGGACCAGATTTGTCCTTTGACATCTACGAGGGTCAGATCACGGCTCTGCTGGGGCACAGCGGCACCGGGAAGACGACGCTGATGAACATCCTCTGTGGGCTGTGCCCACCCACGGATGGTGAGTCCTCAGGGCTTTTGGGTGCCCTGCTTTCAAAACCAAAGCTCATGATCTTTATGGTTACTTCAGGATGCACCAAACTTTGAAATAGAATCACTGGGTGGTTTGGGTTGACAGGGACCTTAAAGCTCATCTCATTCCAACCCCCTGCCATGGGCAGGGACACCTTCCACTAGCCCAGGTTGCTCCAAGCCCCGTCCAACCTGGCTTTGAGCATTTCCAGGGATGGGAAGGCCACAACCTCTCTGGACAACCTGTGCCAGTGCTTCACTACCCTTATAATAAAGATTTTTTTTCTAATATCTAATCTAGCCCTGCCCTCCTTCATCTTAAGGTCTTTCCCCCTTGTCCTGTCACTCCACACCCTTGTGAAAAATCCCTCTCCAGCCTTCCTGTAATGCCCCCTCAGACCCTATAAGATTTCCTAAAGTTCACCTTCAATTCATATCCACATTCACCTGCTCTCTGGTAAAGACCTTCTTCCTTGATTGCTCCTGGATTTGTTTTAATTGTTGTTTTAGGGTTTGTCTCTGTCTATGGGCACAAAGTCTCCGAGATCGATGAGATGCTGGAAGTGCGGCAGATAACGGGGGTGTGCCCTCAGTCTGACATACACTTTGATATTTTAACTGTGGAGGAGAACCTCTCCCTCTTTGCTGCCATTAAGGGAATCCCTCAGAATGATTTGATACAAGAAGTAAGTCACCCGGGCACAGGTATTGTCTTATGTGTTCACTTCTAACCTGTAAATCAAAATATCCTTTTAGACAAGTTTGTAGGGAAATATTATTTTATGGTACAGTAGACAAAGAGGTACAGATATTTTGGCAAAGATAAACTGTTAATTTTTCCTAGGAGATTAAAATATTCATAGCAAAACTTTAAATCCTGGCATTTGGATTCAAGCATAGGCACCTTTAAACTTTGTATGCACAGGTTGTGCAGTTCACATACAGAATAAACTGGGAATTAGCAACAGTTAATTTGAGTGTTAATTGTTCATAATCTGGTTTAAAAACAACTTACAGATTTTTTTTTTTTTTGGAACATTAAATGTGTTTCTTGTGTTTTCAAGGTGCAGAAGGTGTTGCTGGATTTGGAGATGCAGCCCATCAGGGACAATCAAGCTAAAAAACTAAGTGGGGGGCAGAAGAGGAGGCTGTCAGTGGGAGTTGCTGTTCTTGGGAACCCCAAGGTGAGAGTGATGGAGTTGTTCCCAGCTTGGCATCACTGATACATTGATGGTTTGGTGTCTCTTGTCTAAACCAAATAATACATATAATAATAATATGTAAGATGCAGTCATTGTTACTCTCAGCATCTGTTACTCCTTTTTTTTTTTTTCATTTATGGCTTAATTAAAATACTTTAATGACTCAACCTTTGTACTTGAGGCTGTTAAAGGCTCAGGTAATGGCAATAACTCTGGATCTCTTTGGGACATAAACAGTGTGACAAGTTTTCTGTAACTTCTGGCAGGTAACATTTAGCCCCCAACAGTCAAATTGTGGGATACTTTCCTCACAAAGCCATCCAGGAGCAGGAATGAAGCCAGAGAACTCTTTTGTGTTCCAGCTCTGTAATTTCTGGCCTGTGAGGACGGGGACTGCCTTGAGATCTGTGTTTAAAAATGATGTGTGTGACAGTTCCTGGGGGTTTTAAAAGCAGGTGTGTGTATTTAACCACCCCTTAGGAGAAAAAGTGAATCCACAGCTAAATTGTTAATTCTAGTACGTAATTGTGTTAGAACCAGAATAGAACAGACTATGGCATTAAGTTATTATAGGAGTTTTCCATTTGTCACAACAGGAGATGGATTTATTCAAAATGTAGTGGCAGCAGCTGCACTACTTAGTCTAGAATATTCCTTATGTGTTTTAGAGAAATAACTAACAGGCTTCAGGCAAAACCCCCAGGATCTGTAAGGACTCCTGAGGTCAGTGCACATGGGTGTGGCTTTGAAAACACTCTTGGTTTTGCCCCAAGGTTTTGCTGCTGGACGAGCCCACGGCCGGGATGGATCCGTGTTCACGGCACATCGTCTGGAACCTCCTGAAAAACAGGAAAGCCAATTGTGTGACTGTGTTCAGCACCCACTTCATGGACGAGGCAGATATCCTGGCTGGTGAGGTCTTCTGCCACCCTGGGTGCCAGCCTGGGGTGCCAAACCACGGAATGCACGTTTGTTTGAAATATATCATTGAGTTTTGGGGGAAATTCTCGATCTTCTGCTTCAAAGGGGCCTTCTTGACTTCTGTTTCTAGATCGTAAAGCTGTGATTTCTCAAGGGATGTTGAAGTGCCTCGGATCTTCTCTCTTTCTCAAAAGCAAGTGGGGAATTGGCTACCGCTTGAGGTAAGGGTTTTGTGGTATTTATGTGCCATCAGGTTTTTTCTTTTTATTGTTTTCTGTTGCAATCTCTAAGATAGCACCCTCTGCATCCCCCCCCCCCCCAAAAAATCCTTTTATCATCTTGAATGATAAAATTGAGTGTTTGGTGACTGTGGTGCTCTGCTGGCTGATTGTGGTGCAGTGTCAGGAGAAGGTCAGGTTTTAACCCCCCAGTTTCTGGGGCTGTGTTTTCAGCATGCACATCGACGCCTATTGCAACACGGAAGCTACGACCTCTCTGATCAGGCAGCACATCCCTGCAGCCACCCTGAGCCAGGAGAACGATGAGCAGCTCGTGTACACCCTCCCCCTCAAGGACGTGGACAAATTTGCAGGTATTGGTGGGTTTTTGTGCTGCAGGGATGAGTTGCTGCAGAGGGGAATTCCATCAGGCGTGGCTGTAGCTGCACCTCTTGGTCAAGTGTCAATTCTGCAGTTATCTGTGTTTATATATGTTATTATTTGGGTGATGGTGAGTCAGTGAGGTCTTTCTCAGGTGAGTGAGGACCTTGTTGCCTCCTCCAGGGGGGCTGTGGTGTGTCAGAGGGATGTGGGTACCTGACAGCAAGTTGCTGGGGTGATGCCTCTGTGGTGAAGAGACCCTTTCACCCGACCATCCCTTTGTCCTGCAGAAGCATCATCTTGCTGCAGAGGGTTTCAATGGGCCAGGCTGGCCTCCAGTGGGAATCCAGCAAAAATCAACAACCCTTGTGTGACCTGCAAAGAGCATCATCACACCCAAAAGCAATCTGTGAAGTCAGTAAAATGATAACCTCTAAAACACTAATGCTGTCTGTGTCACTGCCTTAAAATTCAGTGGTGAGAGGGAGCGTGGAGCAGATGTGAGGATTTCACTAGATGGCAGCAATTATCTGATCAGTCCTGTGCAGAGCTCCTTGTTCACCTCCCAGAAATAAATGGAATAAACACTGTGTCCTCTGTGCCATATGGAAAGGGAAGGGAGAATCAACACTGATGGGAATATGCAGCTGATATTTCATAAGTGGTTTTTTTTCCCCTGCTGCATTTGAGTTAATAATTTATTAGACTTTCCTTTAGCAGCCACATTGTGTACTTTTGAAAACAGGCACCTTTTATGTAAGATGGAATCAATTCCCCCAAACTGTTGCAAGGAGAAGCCAAGGTTGGGAATATGCCTTGGTCAGTGGGGCAGAAGAAATCGCAGAGATTAGAGCAGCAGCATCAGGGATCCAGCTGCTCTTTCCATTTTATACATTAGCATTTCCCTTCAGCCTGACCCTGGCTCTAAACTCCTTGTTTTAAGTCCTTTATTTCATAGGACTAACAAGAGCCCAATAGCATTTTATCCAAGGGTATTAATTAATGCTCTCTCTGAACCTCATGTTGGTCCTCAAGCTCTGCCTGCTGTCCAGGATCTCCTGCCCAGTTAACCTTGCTTTACACATCTGGGAATTCTTTTTATATGCATCAAAGTACATATTTTATATAGATGTCAAATTACTCAGTGGTTTTATTTGTAAAATTCCTTTGTGCCTGGGCAGGGATTTAGGTCCTGCAGACCCCGGGTGTGATGCTACCAGGAGAGGGGCTCCTGAAGCTGCCCAGAGGGAGCTCTCAGCCCAGGAGCTTTAGGATGCTGAGGTGGTTTTCATCAACACCACAGCTTCAGGAAAACCTGCCGCATTTCCCTGACCACAGAGATTGAAGTTTGGTGCTAAAAGGAGCTTATCCCAACCTTGGTTCTCAAGCCACGACCTGCGTCTTCATCTTTAAACATTGATATTTCTGCGTTAGTGCTTTTTCCAAGGCTTTAGGGATGTGTCTGACATGCTTGGAGCTCTCTCAGGAGGTGGTGGAGCACAGTTGCAGAGCAGTTACGTGTCATGTCTGTCCCCAGGCTTGTTTTCTGACCTGGACACCCACTCCCACCTGGGTGTTATCACCTATGGCGTGTCCATGACCACGCTGGAGGACGTCTACCTGAAGCTGGAAGTTGAGGCAGAGATTGACCAAGCAGGTGGGGTGGGCCAGGAATGTTCTCTTGTTTTCCCTTGTGTTTGTTTTAGTCTCAGTTAGTGTGGAATTGTCACTGCCAGGAGGAGGTAAGAGTAACAACTCCCCTCCCAAGGTGCTGCGTCAAGGTGGGGCTCCTTTGGCCTCATAACATTCCAGGCTGTTGAAATATTTAACGTGAAAAGCAGGAAAATTGGGTGGGAGGTGGTTCTGGGAGGATCCAGGGGAAAAGCTTTTTGCTTATTAATTTTTCATCCTGCACACTTACATCTGACTCGTCTGCTTTACAGTCACACATTTAAATGGCTTGCTTTTTTAAAATGTCCTTTTTTTTCCTAATGGACTTTTTTGCTTTCAAGAATTTATAAATGCGCAGCGTGAAATTAATTTCCAGCTTTCTGCAACATTAGTGGCTGCACTTAAGGCTGAAACAGCTCAACTTGTCTCACTTCCCCTCCTTTGAAATTAACTTTCAATTCAAATGATAAGCTGAATAGGCTTAATATTATTCCAGAATTAATAAATTCTTTTTTTTTTTATGTTAACTTCAATCGTTTAAGCTATTTTAATAATTCTAAAGCTTTCTGTGTGATACAGACTTACTAGTATAAGTAAGTATATATACTCTATGGTGTATATATAGTATACTGATATATAAACTTACTGAGTAAGTAGAATTACTACCCTGCTCCACAAAGTTTGTGTGGGTGTGGGAGGGTTTAAAAGCTGAATATGCTGGTGCTGAATAATAGAGGTGCATACACAGGCCAGTGGTATGAAATTGGGGCAAGTCTGCACCTTTTGGGTGGCAAAAATTTGTCATCTGCCTTAAATATCTGCCATGTGTGTGGTGGGGGTGGATCAGTGTCAGTGACTTGGGGTTCAAGTTGAGAGATTGGGATGGGATGGGGTGGGATGGGATAGGATGAGATGAGCTGACTTTAGTAGGAAGGACCACCTGGCTCCTCCACCTCTCCCATTTCAACCCTGTAGCTCTGTGAAAGCATCAGCTCTGTAGAGTTTTCCTCTCCCCTTTTTCAGATTACAGCGTGTTCCATTCCCAGCAAGTGCAGGAGGAGATGGATAACAAATCCTTGGATGACATGGAGCAGAGCCTGCTGATGCTGTCGGAGACAAAGGCTCCAGCCATGAGCAACACAGCCCTGTGGAAGAAGCAGGTTTCCACCATAGCCAAAGTGCATTTCCTTACCCTGAAGAGGGAAAATAAATGTGTGAGAGTTATGTAAGTATTGGGATACAGAAGTCTTAAAACCTGTTTGAATGACACCAGAGAAAGGGCAGGATTTGAATACTTTTTTTCACATACTTACTGTGTTTTAAATGTAAATATGAAGCTATCATTTCTGTTGAACACATTCTTTTTGGGGGGGTGAGGGAGGTGTTTTAATAACATGCACATAAACTGGGCTGGCTTTCACTGGATTTTAATAAACCCCAAACTTTTTATTTCTTTTCAGGTTGTTGCTTTTTCTGATATTTCTTGTCGTTCAGATTTTATTGTTTTTCATACACCACATCATCAAAAATTCTGTAGCTGCTATCAAACTTTCCCCAGATTTGTACTTGCTGAAGCCTGGAGAGAACTATCACAAGTACAGGAGTCGGCTCCTGCTGCAGAACTCCACAGGTGGGGGAGCAGCTCCTGTCTCCACCTCTCTCTTCAGTGTAGCTACTTTTGGGATTGGGGACAAAATTTTCCTGGAAATTAACCCAGATGAACAGTTTCCAAGTACCCAGAGATAATAAAGAGTGAATATCATTTATACCATAGGGTTTGGTTCACAGATCTTCCTCCTCCTCCCATGTCCAGCCTTTTTCTTGCTGTGTCAGAGGATGATCCATATGAAGGAACTGGCCAGAGATATTTAGATAATCAGCATTAAAATTCTATTATAAAACACTTTGGAAAATTTGCTTTTTGTTTCAACTTAAGATGTTTTAAAAGTGCACAGCAGTAATCCAGGCAATGGAAAAGGAGCATCTGTTCCAACTGTTGGGAATTTGTGCTTAATACAACTTACTTTCTCTGCACACCGTGTCCAAGTGTTGCTGGTTTCCTGCTTTTTTTTTTTTGCTAATTTTTTATTCAACTCAAACCTTGAATATCTTGATAATGCTTGTTGGCAGCTCTGCTCCCTCACTGCTGCATTTGAGTTGCACAAACCAATTGGAGAACATCACAAAAAATTTTTTCCTGAGTTCTTCAGAGGCTGTTGAGCAGGAAACCAAAATAAAATAATCTGTGTTGTTCAGAATAGCAGAGGACTCTGGTGGGCCTGAGTGATCTTTCATGGGGTTATATCAGTGAGAAAATGCATCAATAATTTTGTGTAAAATACTACAAGCTGGTGATAAGGAGGGATTTCAAAGTCGTGGAGATGTGGCACTCAGGGACATGGTTTAGTGGTGGGCTTGGCAGTGCTGGATTAATGGTTGGACTCAATGATATTTAAGCTCTTTTCCAACTGAAGTGATTCTGTGTTTTCTCTGTTCTCGCCAGAATCGGATATCAGTGACATTGTCCACTCCCTTAGGAGCATGAACATACTCCTGGAGATGTTCAATGACAGTGATTATGTCTCAGCTGCACCTCACAGTGCAGCTTTAAACGTGTTTGCCCTTCAATCCAGACAGGTGAGATGGACAGACTGGTTGGGTTGTGCCCCAAAGAGCCCCCAGGCAGCTGCTGGGGGCTGGTTTGTGATACTCTTACCTGAAAAGCAACCATTGAGTCAGAGAATCAAGTAATATTACATAGTATTCCTTATACAAAAGGCCTGAAAAGAGGACTTGTATTAACAGAATGGAAATATTAGCAAAATGAATGTTCTTCCATAATTATAATTACAGTAGGCCAATCAAAATTCCATCCTCCTTTCTTCCCCAAAAGGACACAAAAAGCCAAGAGAAACGTTTTATTTCACAAGGGACCTGACATAGGAATTCTTTCATCTTTTTTTTTCTTATACTGACTGAATTACACAATCTGACAGAAGTACAATTCCATGGTGCTCTCATGTGTAAAGAAAAACGAGTTTCTTGGATTGTACGTGTTCTTTTCCATATGGTCACCGAAGGGCTGTCGGGAAGATGTGAACTTTGGGGTTGCATTTAATCCCCAGCAAAGGAACTGCTTTGCAGTCTGCCAGCTCTGGCTCTTGTTCCCATTTTGCTCATTGACACTGCTCCCATCAGTGTGCCAGTGCAGCCCCTCAGCTCCTGTAAATTTTTGCCTGTCTGGTTTTTAAATCCATTAGCGAGAACATCCGAGTGTGGGTCCTCGTGTGTTTTGGTTTTTTTCAGGCTGTAATTGCCTGGAGTGTCATTTGTCATAGTGTCACTGTTCCATAAAACATGCTGGGAATTTATTCCAAATAATTTGTTCTCTTTGTGAACATGACTGTTTTCCTGAATTAGGTTATGTGTTACAACCACTCTGAGCAGCCCAGAACTTCCTGCAAAGCAGACTCAATTATGCAAAGATTTTTTCCCAATGCTCAGGTTTAATTAAGGAGAGCCCTCTCAGGGAATTGCCCTTTGTGCAGAAGAATTAATACAGCACGTACTTTTCTTCCTAGAATTATGTTTTCACCGTCATATTCAACAGCACCATGGTGCATTCCCTGCCAGTTCTGATGAATATTGTCAGCAATCTCCTGCTGCGCAGCTTAAATGTGACTGAGAGCATCCAAATCTGGAGCAACCCCTTCATTCAGGTGAGCAGCACCCCAAAAATCACCCTGAAACACGGGGTGGATGGCAAAGCATCCCTGGAGTGAGGGAGCTAGGGCAGAAACACCCCACAAACCAAGGGAAAAGCTGGTTGGGATTGTTTGAGAGCTTAAGGGGACATGAAAGGTGCTGGGGTTTTGCTCTGCAGGTTGTGGAAGTGGAGGAGAAAAGGGCTTGGAAGGAGGATGTGGTGGTGGGAATTAAAGGTTGTACAGGGCTTGGGGTAACCTGGTTTAATGGAAGGTGTCCCTGCCCATGGCAGGGACTGGAACTGAGTAATCTCTAAGATTCTTTCCAACCCAAACCATTCCAGGATCCCATGAATTTGTTGTGGTTTGTTAGAGGTGACCTGCACTTGTGGGTCTGCTGCCTTCTGTGCAGAGCTGGGGTGGCCTTTGGGAGAGGAGAGGACCTGCAGGAGGAGATAAATGCTCTAGAAGTTCATTAGCTATTATTTATTCCTCATATAAATTATTTCAGACCTTCCATGGGTATTTCTCCTCATGCTGCAGCTCAGGTGCTGTTGCCATTTATATTTTAGCATTTACAGTCACGTTCCAATACTTAAGGTGGTGTCTTGGTCCTGCACGTTCTGGCACTGAACAAATCTGGTTTGTATTCCAGAATCTTCCAGACACGATTTTCAGGCTGGAGATCTATTTCGAAGCTGTGTTGCTGGGGATCATCATCACTGGAATGCCGCCCTATTTTGCCATGGACAACGCGGAAAACCACAAGGTGACTCCCAGGTGTTGAGCCAGAGACACACAAGAAGTTAAAAATCTTGGGATTTGGGGGGAAAACCTCCAGAGGTGTTTAAAATAGTGCCCTGAGAGGCAGCATGGATGGGATGGCTGTTTGCTGCCTGGGGTGGAACAGGTTTGGGAAAAGCTAAAATTGGCAATAACCAGGTAACACGGGGGCAGATTAACATGGCACTGATTTTAATTACTGTGTGATTAACACTGTGTTTTCTTCTCCTGTTGCAGATCAAGGCCTACACACAGCTGAAGATTGCAGGGCTCTATCCCTCTGCTTACTGGACTGGCCAGGCCGTCGTCGACCTCCCGCTGTTCTTCTCCATCCTCGTCCTGATGATCGGGAGCCTCTTCGCCTTCCACTACGGAGTTTATTTCTATGTGGGCAAGTTCCTGGCTGTGGTGAGTGTGGTGGGGAAGGGAGAGCCTGGTTACCTTGTTTTCTATGAGTGTTTGTTTTTTTTGGATGGTTCAGCCAAATTTTTCCAATGGATTTACGGGGAAAACGCCCAATTAAAGCCACCGGCACTGAGGCTGCACCAAAGGCAAAATACCTTTTGTGGGGAAAATTGTTCAGATCATGGAGTTTCATTCAGAGCCAGAGTAATAAAGCTTTAAAATACCAGCGTTTTCCAAGGAAGTGCTCCTTCCTTTTTTCCTCTGCTTTCCCAGCCTGCTTTGTGCTCTTTGCTGTGACTGATAATTGCCCTGTTTGCATCAACGTGCTGCTAATGACAAGGGCACAGTGACTTTGAGCACAGCCCATCTCTGCAGTGAGCTGCAGCATGTGATTCAATTGAAGACACCACAAGACTTCGAGTCTTTGATATTCAGAGCGGGCTTCCCTGTGAGATTGGCTGTAATTGAGAGGAATCAGCTTTTCCTTGCTGCTTTCCCAGAAGCTCCGAGATAATCGGGTTTGGGATGTGCCTGGTGTGCTGCAGGGCTGGTTCTCTCCCCTTGTTTTAATTTCTACACAAATGCCAAGATAGAATTCTTACCATTTGCCAAAATCTTGAGGTCAGCATTTATGGGGTCCTGTGTTATAAAAAAATGGGGAAGAGTTTAAAGGAGGGAGGTTCCTGCCTCTCCTCACACTCTTGCATTTGTATCTCTAATAATATACATACCAAGGCAGCAAAATAAATCAAATTAAGTGACAAAGATGAATGCAGAGTTATGTATCACACCAAAGTCATTCCAGTTGATACTTAAACAAGAAATTCTTGCTTCCCATTCCTGAGAAACCTTCCCTGTGTTTGCAGATTTTTTGCCTGATTGGTTACGTCCCCTCAGTTGTGCTCTTCACTTACGTGGTCTCCTTCACCTTTAGAAAAGTCCAGAACACAAAAGAATTTTGGTCATTTATATTTTCAGTGGTGAGTAACTTGTCCTTGAGTGGGGATAACAGGGAAGATTGGTGATCTCCACAACAGCTTCCCAGTTAATTTATTTAACTGTCTGCCCTTAATGCACAGGAAATGTGAAACATTTACCAGCGTCTCTGTCTTCCTGTCACATCCTAAATGATAAAAGCTTTAAAAAATATGCCTCAAATTAGTTAACTTACGCTTAGAGAGTCTGAACTGGATGAAAATGGACTTTTTTTCCTTTTCTTTTGTACAGACAGCCTTGCTCTGCACAGTTGTCACTGAAGTGGCCTTTTTTCTGGACTATTACGTGGTAACCACCATCCTGCATTACGTCTTCTCCATCTTCATTCCTATTTATCCCCTTATTGGCTGTCTGATTTGTTTTATAAAGGTAAGGGGGCACAGGGGATCCTTTTCAGAGCACTTGTAGCTGGTTGGGATTGGGTGGGTGTCTTTAATGTGTCGTCTGTAGCCATTTAGCATGTGAAGAATAGCAATTGCTGGGGGGGAAAAAACCCACCTTTTTCCTGTTAAGCAAAGTGTTTCAGTCTTAAAATGAGGAAAGCAGCAAGTTTTCCACTAAATTTCCTTCCAGTACCTGAAGGGAACCTACAAGAAAGATGGAGAGGGACTTTTTACAGAAGTGTGTAGTGACAGGATATTTTTAAATTAGAAGAGAGTAGATTTAGATTAGATATTAGGAAGAAATTCTTCCCTGTGAGGGTGGGGAGGCCCTGGCACAGGTTTCCCAAAGAAGCTGTGGCTGCCCCTGGATCCCTGGAAGTGTCCAAGGCCAGGTTGGATGGGGCTTGGAGCAACCTGGGCTAGTGGAAGGTGTCCCTGCCCATGGCAGGGGGTTGGAATAAGATGATCTTTAAGGTCCCTTCCAACCCAGCCATTCCATGATTCCGTGATATCCAAAGGAAAACCATGTGTTTCTCAGTGAGCAAACCCCATGATGGGCTTTGGGAGTTGGGGGCTTGAAACCAGGAGCAGCCCCCAGGATTTGGATGGAGTTTTATTGGTGTCAGACTCGTGCAATCAGAGCAGAACTCAGAAAGTGCTTGAGCATCATAACTTAAATAGCTGCTGGAGATTACACAGCCTCTGGTAGGTGATTATGTGTGTTTTTCCCTGAATTTTCAGGTCTCCTGGAAAGGCAAACGGAAGAGTGGGGGATACTACGACCCGTGGGACCGGCTGCTGGTGGCAGTTCTGGCTGTGAGCATGGCAATTCCATTATCTGCCTTATTTGCCCTAGGGAATTGCTGGCTCCTGCTGGGAGCCCCTTCTGTTCACATCTCTGTTAATCAAGATTTGATGTGGTGCTCAGCACTGCTGAGCCTGCAGCTCCTGCAGCCTGTTGCAGCACGAGCAGAGTCAGTAAAGCTCAACATCTGCTGCCTCAGTGGCCTGAGTAACACTGCCAGCATTAATTCTGATTATTATGGGAGTCTGTGCTGATGGAGCAAGTGCTCCAGAGCAGGGGCAATCCCTTCTCTCTCCAAACCCCCCAAATAATTGCCCTTAAATCTGAGCAGACTTTGATTGTACGTCCTCAGACCCGTTCAGTGATGTATTTAACGTTCTTGGAAACACCAGCACTTCTGTGGTGGTGCTGAGCTGGAGCTTCTCATCCCTCATCACACTGGTGGGGTCACCTTTGGGGTCACCAGCCCTGGAAGGCTGGCAGTGTTCCCAGTAACCAGTGTTTGTCTGCTCCAGCCCTATTTGCAGTGTGTTGTGTGGCTCTTCCTGCTGAGGTGCTTCGAGCTGAAGAATGGAGGGAGGACGGTCAGAGAGGATCCCTTTTTCAGGTGTGTCTCTTAAACAGCCTTTTTTTATTATTTTAAAGCAATAGTGCAAAGAAACTGCTTTTAAAGGTGCTGCTGGTGGTGAAACTGGAGTATGCAGTGAAAGGAATACAATAACTTTCATCATATTCCATCCCAGGTGTCTGAAAAATTCGTTTTCCTCGCTTCAGTTGTGTGAAATTCAGGCATGGAAGGGCAGAAATAGGTGGTTTTTTTTTCTTTTTAAGTTATTTCAGTGCAAAATCAGGAATTTTGTGAGTGTGTTCCCTATATAAAAACAGGGGGACTAACCCATTCCCACTGCATGACTAGAGATGCCATAACCCAACAAATAGCCCAGCACAAAGGTGACACAGTGACAGTCCCTGACAGCTCCTCCTGCTCTCAGATGAGCTGCAGGAATCTGTTCCCCCCTGGGCTTGGCAAACACAAATGGCTTTCAGCATCAAAGCCCTGAGCCAACCTCAGCTCAGTGTTGTTTTCTTCCCCTTCAGAAAATGCTTTACAAAAGCCAGAACCTGGAAGTTCCCAGATGTGCCACATGAGGAGAATGAGGATGAAGATGTGAGGGCAGAGAGGCTGCGAGTCAAAGAGATCCTGAGCAGCCCCAAAAGTGAGGAGGTAAAGCCCTGCACACCCCCAGGCACTGCCCAAACCCCACATTTGGAGGTTTCCCAGAGCTGCTGGGATCTGCAGCCACTTTCCTCTCCCCTACTAGATGCCAGCAATCCTGGTCAGCAGCTTGCACAAGGAGTTTGATGAAAGGAAGGAATTTCTTCTGGGGAGAAAAATAAAGAAAGTGGCAACAAAACATGTTTCTCTCTGCGTAAAAAAAGGTTGGAGTTCAGTGGCTTGCTGCTGAGCTGTTTTATGTACAAAAACAACCCTTGGATGTGTTTGTCTGACCTTGTGGGCAATGGTTTGTGTCATCCTTTCTTTAGGAGAAATACTGGGTTTGTTGGGACCCAACGGAGCTGGGAAAAGCACATTAATTAATATGCTCGTCGGAGAGATTGAACCCACCAGTGGGCAAGTATGTTACATGCTACAAGTTATGTAAAAAATTAACTCTTATTTAGATTTTATTATTGTTATTTCAAGCATTCCTGAGTGCAATATGCAAAGGCAGTTTGGAAACCTGTAACATTCTGGAGCGAGGTCTGTGCGTTTTCCTCGCAGGTTCTGATGGGAGATTATTCTTTGGGGCTGAGCAGTGAAGACTCCGTGAAATTCGTGGGGTACTGTCCTCAGACAAACCCGCTCTGGCCAGATATTACACTGCAGGAGCACTTTGAAATTTATGGTGCTATCAAAGGAATGAGTCAGTCTGATGTTAAGGAAGTCGTCAAACGGTGAGTAGTTCATTTTAGAAATCCTTGAGGTTTAGCTGGATTTTTCTTAGGGTTTTTTCAGGTTTATTGCAGGAGGTTTTTTTGGCCCTTTTATGGTGTTTTTTTCTTCCTCCCCCAGTGCAATTTTTTTTTTTTTCATTTAAGTTTAGTTGGATCTTTCCAGCAAACTCAGCAAGTGTGAATATTTAGGTGAGGAGATACAGGTTCAGCCACACAGAATTCAGTTGGCATTTCTAATTTTTTTATATATTTTTTTTTTAAAGCTAGGGAGTGCTAACAATGACCTTTGGAGAAGCTGCAAGGGCAGGGAGTCCCAGGCTTGGAGCTGTTTCTGGGTTGTCACCACAGGCTCCTCCAGGACATGGGGCAGGTGGCTTTTGTACGGAAGGGCCCACCTCCAATTCTGCTTATTGCTCTGCTTTTTTTTGTACTTTCTATACAAATATTTGTAACTGAGCTTTTCAAACGGGGCTGTTTGCTGTTTTTCAAACAAGGCTGTTTGCAGCATCCCCCCTGGGATGAGGGGGAAGCTGAACCATCAACCTTTCTCTGGTCCTTCCCCCTCCGCAGCATCGTGAGCGCCCTGGATTTGAAGGATCACCTGCAGAAGACGACGAAGAAGTTGGGTGTGGGGCTGAAACGCAAGGTATGGGGACTGTTTGAGCACCTGTGCTGGGGGTCAGCAGCACCACCCTGTCCTCACCCTGCCCCTTTGCCTCCCTGCCAGCTGTGCTTTGCCCTCAGTATGCTGGGAAACCCCCGGGTCACGCTGCTGGATGAACCATCCACCGGGATGGATCCCAAAGCCAAGCAGCACATGTGGTGAGTGCCCCCAGGGCCAGGCTGGCCACAGGGTGCTTTCTCCTTGAGAATGTGCCTGAATTTGTGTGCATTATCCATGTTAACACTAGGGAGAGCCATAGACAGGGAGTCACAGAATAGTTTGGGTGGGAAGGGACCTTAAAGCTTGTCCAGTTCCACCCCCTGCCCTGGGCAGGGACACCTTCCACTAGCCCAGGTTGCTCCAAGCCCCGTCCAACCTGGCCTTGGACACTTCCAGGGATGGAGCAGCCACAGCTTCTCTGGGCAACCTGTGCCAGGGCCTCCCCACCCTCACAGGGAAGAATTTCTTCTAATATCTGCTCTAACCTGCCCTCTGGCAGTTTAAAAACATTCCCCTTTGTCCTGTCACTCCAGGCCCTTGTCCAAAGTTCCTCTCCAGCTCTCTTGGAGTCCCTTTAGGCACTGGAAGGTGCTTTAAGGTCTCCCTGGAGCCTTCTTTTCTCCAGGTGAACACCCCCAGCTCTCCCAGCCTGTCTTCCTACCAGAGGTACTCCAGCCCTCAGAGCATCTCCACGGCCTCCCCTGAGTTGCTCCAGCAGCTCCACATCCTCCTGTGTTGGGAGCCCCAGATCTGGGGCTCAGTGATCTGGGTGGGGTCTCACAAGAGGGGGAGAATCAACCCAACCTCAGTGCCAGGTGCACTGTATCTGTGTCCTCCCCCAGAACACCTTGGGATTAAAAGCTTGAAAGCTGAAAGAAATCCTTAAAATAATACAAGGAGTACAGATTTGAGTCATCTTTGGAAAATTCAGGTGTTAATTGTTGCTGTGGGAGTAGTGTCAGTCCATAGATAGAGGGTTTGTGTTGGACCATCACAGTCTTCTTTTCCTACTAACCCAGGACTTACCTGCTGATTGTTTTGTTCAGGGATGTTTCTTGTCTGTGTTTTGTAGGAGGGCAATTCGAGCAGCCTTCAAAAACAAGGAGAGAGCAGCAATCCTGACCACCCACTACATGGAGGAGGCAGATGCTGTGTGTGACCGTGTGGCCATCCTGGTGTCTGGGCAGCTCAGGTACCACCAGAGCCTCCTCTGGGGCAGGGGGGACAGGACAACCATCAGCTAAAATATATTCCTTTGAAAATACAGATAGACAATTTTTTTGTACCTTAAATTCAGAACAAAATTAATCTTAAACTGCCAAAAGGGTCTGTTTGAAGTTCAGCTGCTCCTTGAGTGTGGTCTAACGTGTACAACTGGTATTTTCTCTCTGCAACTGCCAGATGTATAGGTACTGTCCAACACCTGAAGAGTAAGTTTGGCAGAGGATACTTCTTGGAGATGAAACTAAAAGAAACAGCAGATGTGCAGCAGGTGGAGTATCTGCAGAGCCAGATTTTGCACATCTTCCCCAACGCCAACCGCCAGGAAAGGTGAACTGACAAACACGCAGAAAATGATGTTAATAAAAGCCTCTGATTTCTCAGCAGCAGCTTGGCACTGGGTAGGGAATGTAAATATTTACACACAGGGAAAAAGAGGAAGGGTTTTGGGAGCCAGCAGAGCCCAGGCTGCCAGGGCAGGGCCGGGAGCCCGAGCAGATGTTCAGCACGGGGGAAGCAAAACTCAATTTCTGCATAGCTGTTGCCTGACAACTTCCTCCTTGGTCAGGGCCTCTGGGAACTGGGAAAAAGCAGAGTCACTGGCCCTTACCTAGAAATGCCTGAGTGTTCTCTGGGGCATCTCAGAGTTTGAGGGTGGGCTGGTTGGTTTTCCACCAACAGCTTTCTTTGAACTTCTGCTGTATGAACCCGAGGGTGACTGCTGAGCAATAGGTGCACTGCAGGCATCATGTAAGGAGTGTTCCTCAAATGTGGGGGATCTGGAGGGGGGAGAGTTCCCTTTTCATCAGCAGATGTGTGGGGCAGAGCAGGTCCCTGTCCTGGAATCTGAGTTGCTGGAACTGCTGCCTGGTGCAAAGTTCCAGGAGATGCTGTGACCTCTAAACTCATTTCAAAGGAAAAAACCTCAGAACTTTGGGACTTCCAGGCAGTGAATCTTCCATGAGTAAGCAGAATAGGAATGGTTGAATCGAAGTTGAAGAGCATCTAAGTTATAGAACAGTCTCTGGGGATCTCAGCTAGTGCACTTGAACCTGCATCTCTGAGGTGAAAAACCAGCTGGAACTGCATCATTCCTCCTGTCTTTATGGTCATGATGAGTCAAAATGCCCAGAGGAACACTCAGAGAATGGGTTTAAATCCATTCAGTTGGATATTAATATTTTTACTTGGAATGATTTTGCTTGAAACTAAATTAGTTTTGTCTCTTTGTTCCAGTTTTGCTTCTATTTTGGCCTATAAAATTCCTAAAGAAGATGTACAGTCACTTTCACATTCTTTTTCCAAGCTGGAAGAAGGTAATTAAGCACTTGCCATAGATCACCTACAGAAATCCTTTTGTCTCCTATAAGTGACACTTTTGCCATGCAGTGTCGCTGCTCCATTTCTGTTCCACATTTATTTAATTTACTTTTCTTTTATCATTGTTGTCCCCAACTCTGTTTCTTGTGAAATCATGAGTAAGCACTTGTACCAGCTTAAAATCCAGTTGTGTGAGATATTGAAATACTCCTAAATCTGCTCTTATTAATTCTTTCCACAGTAAAACACACCTTTAACATCGAGGACTACAGCTTCTCTCAGGCAACACTGGAACAGGTATGTTAAATGATATTTTGTGGAAGTAAACTCTACCAGGTGAAGGTGTCAGACAGAGGGAAGGGTTAGATTGGATATTAGGAAGAAGTTCTTCCCTGTGAGGGTGGGGAGGCCCTGGCACAGGTTGCCCAGAGAAGCTGTGGCTGCCCCTGGATCCCTGGAAGTGTCCAAGGCCAGGTTGGATGGGGCTTGGAGCAGCCTGGGCTAGTGGAAGGTGTCCCTGCCCATGGCAGGGGGTGGAATGGGATGAGCTTTAAGTTCCCTTCCAACCCAAACCATTCCATGATTCTGTGGTGAAGGGCCCTGTGCAGGCAGCTCATCCCCCAGGCCTGGCTTTCAAGCCACTGGGGCCACTTTGCCTATTTGGGCATTTTTGGGAAACCGAGTTCCCCTTTTTCCAAAGTGAATAGGAATTGCCAGTTCCCCCTCTCCTCTTTATTCCCATTTTCTCCTTTAAAAATAAGATGCCAACTTCAGTGACTGGAGGAAAATAAATGTGTGGCATTAATGGGAAAGCTGCTCTGATTTATTCTGAGGTCGGACGTTGCTGTTCATGGCTGAAAGGGGGGTGAAGCTGAGGCTTGTTATTGCTTATTCTTGATTAATTATTGCTGATGATAAATGTCCTTCAGAATGTTCAACTTCCTTTTCACTGTGCTTCTAAAAAACGAGGTGGGAGGATACAAACAAGGAAAAAAACCCCAAAACACTAAACTTGGAGATGAAGCGATGCTTTCAATGCTCCTGAGGTTTTTAGCATGAGTTGTGTTTGTGACTGAGAATGTTCCTACGAGGAGCACGGGGTATCCATGTCCTCTCCATGTGTTCCAGGTGTTTGTGGAGCTTGCTAAAGAGCAGGAGGAGGAGGACAGCAGCTTTGGCACCCTGAACAGCACGTTGTGGTGGGAGAGGACGCAGGAGGACCGAGTCATCTTCTGAGCTCCTCATGTCCAGATCTGCTCAGAAGCTGCTGTTGGTGCCAGCAGTGATCCTCCACACACACGCTGGGGCACGTGCCTGGGAAACATCGGAGCTGGGAAGGACAAGGAGAACTGTGTTTGGAAGCCCTGAGCGTGTCCCACCATCCTGGCCTTAGGAATAATGCCACAGTCGCGGTGTGAGCGTCCCCAGCTGACCTGGAATTCCTCCTCCCCTCGCTGTTCCCTGGTCTCTGTTGGCCAAGAGGACACTGGTCATCTCCTGGTGTTGGTGGCTGGTGCAGGAGCTCCCACCTGCCTTCCCTCAGCCCTCCCATGCCTGGTGGGTGCCAGAGGTTGGGCTGTCTTAAAGGAGACCCTGCACCTGAGCAAAGCCAGGTGCCACTGGAGCATCCTTCCCTGTGGGGCTGGTTCACAGGGTCCTGCTGTGCCCTGTGCCCTCAGCTGGGCACTGCTGCCTGTCCCACGAGGTGCCCTGCAGACACAGCCCTGCAAGGTCCTGCCCCTCCACCAGCTCATCCTTCCCTGCTTATGCTTTGAAGATGCACCTGCTGAGGACAGAGGGGGGGAAAACCACTCCAGAGTAGCTGCATCACTGCAGAGAGGGTCCTGAATTCCCAAAAAACACACTCCAGAGTAGCTGCATCACTGCAGGGTGAGAGAGGGTCCTGAATTCCCAAAAAACACACTCCAGAGTAGCTGCATCACTGCAGGGTGAGAGAGGGTCCTGAATACCCAAAAAACACACTCCAGAGTAGCTGCATCACTGTAGGGTGAGAGAGGGTCCTGAATACCCAAAAAACACACTCCAGAGTAGCTGCATCACTGCAGAGAGGGTCCTGAATTCCCAAAAAACCCACTCCAGAGTAGCTGCATCACTGTAGGGTGAGAGAGGGTCCTGAATTCCCAAAAAACCCACTCCAGAGTAGCTGCATCACTGCAGGGTGAGAGAGGGTCCTGAATTCCACCGCGAGCTGGGCTTGGCGTCCGACCAGCATGAAAATGTTCATTTACAGGCATAACATGGCACTTGTTGGCACTTCCATTCGTTTCTCCTGCAGGTTGGCAGCTGTGGCTGAGCGCTGCTGCCGTTGTGGGTGGCACTGGTGTTTGTCCTGCATGCGCTGGGGGTGGCAGGGGGTGCACAGAGGGGATCTGTTCCTTCCCCTGCCTGGGGAAAGTACAAAGACATAACTGTGTAGTCACGGGATTTGCAGAGATGTGAGTATTCCTTGTGCTCATTAAAAACAGCCTGATTCTTTCCTTGGGTGTAACAACATGTGTCCTGCCAGCTGCTCTCAGACTCAGTCCTTTGGAGATGTTTTCATTCTTCTTGCCAGTGGATTCATGAGTACACGTACCAGTGTTTCCTAATCCATCTCTGTTGGGACAGCAGTCAGCAGCACAGAGACACTTGCTTCATCCTGGCCTGGCAATTTGTCACTCACCTTTGTGAAAACCAAACTCAACTGATCCCAATTCACAGCCTCACCCGCAGGAATGGTGCCTTTTGGTTTGCACAGAGGCACTGAGAGGAGTAGAACAGGTGATCCTTCAGCTTAAGAGATGACAGATGTATTCTGAAAATATTTTTTTGGTTTTTCTACACAAAGATATCATCTTTTTTTTTTTTTTTTTAGTTTTATAAGGTGAAACTAAAGGTTGCTCCCAGTTTGTTGTGCTTTGCAATGAACAGGTACAGAGATGTGTTTATATCGAGACGTTGGCTTCATAAGTCATATCATTTATGTCTCTTCACAGTAAAGTTAGAAAAGATCTTTTGTTTTTCTTGTGAAAACTCAAAAAACTGGGTTAAGGTGGAGTTGTCCCAGCTGTTTGTAATTATCAGGCAATAATGTGTGTAACGTGTCTGATAATGGTTTATCATTGTGTTGAGCCAAAACCTGTTTTGATTAGTTTCTTAGTCCACTGTAGGGAGATGTGAACTCTTTATGTACCACTTTGCTTCCTCTTTTGTGCCCGTGCATTGCATATGAACGTGCAGCTTTGGTTTTGTGGTTAAAAAGGAGCCCAAGCACTGCAGAAAGCTTGGACATGCAGTTTCTTCCCCAGGCAACCACAGCCTGTGGTTCTGCCTGTTTTGGTGAGCCCTGGAAGTGAAACAGAGGTAAAGGGTGGCATTAAAGCACCAACCTCTGAACTGCAGCTCCAGTGGAACCTTCTAGGGGTGAATCTTCCCTGTCAGAGAAGAAAATGCCCCAAATTTGGATGTTTTGTTTATTTAGCCCCTGGGCCCTCCAGCCCATTGCTCCCAGCCTGAGCATTTTCCTTTATTTGGAGCAAAGGTGGTTCCCAGGATTTTGTCTGGTGGTACTTTCCCATGTAGGTAGGTGCAAGTTCAGTGTGTCTTCTCCAAGTCCCACATTTCTTACTTTGTGAGTGGTGTGTCAGCCAAGTGTCACATCAGTCCTTCAGTGCACAGCACGTTCTTGTCACATGAACTTATGGAAGCCCAGTGTGACCTGTGAGCCTTGGTGTCTTCTTTTCATTTTTTTTCTTTATCTTAGAGTTAATAGCCTGTAAAATAGTTCTGTACTGTCTGGGTGACAGCATCCTGTTTCGGATAGTTCCATATTATCTAACTTTTCAAATGGATCATATGAAAACTTGGGTTTTCAGCAGCCAGATGAGCTTGGTTTGGTGCTGTTGTTTATCCTGGAGGAACCCAGGGGATGGTGGCACTGTGTTTGTGCAGCTACATGGACAAAGATTTTGGCTCATTTAAGTAACTGTGCATTTTGGTGGGATCTTTTTGGCGTGGTGACATCGTGTGTCAGTGGGGGGTAAGATGCCACCCCCAAAATCACTGTCATCGTGGTGTGTTGTGTCAGAAGTGTTCCAAAATGTCACACAATGTCTGTAATTGCCAGGATAGGGGGAAACACGTGCAAAATTAAACCAGAGAATCCCCTGGAAACACAAGAGCTTTGCTGCTGTGATTTTGAGTCCCTTTGTTCAGCTGTTATCAGTGACATGCCGAGTCCCGGGTGTGCAACACACACAGCGTGTGCTGTAGGAGATAAAGTGGAGCCAAGGCAGCTGGATTTGGGGCAAATCCACCCCGTTTGGGTCACCATTCCCAGGTGTGATGGTTTTAGTTACCTTGCAGGGTTGTTGTGAGATAGTAGCTGATATATCCAAAGCTTGGAAAACGTGTTTACTTCGTGGTGTTGTTACAAGGTTGTATTTTTCTATGGAGAATTTAATGTGTTTTGATTTTTGTTTACACTCCCGAGAAAAGTCCTTATTTAAAAATATCTCTGTATAGTGAGTGAAGTCTATTGCATAGTCAACATCCAGAACTATGGTAGCAGAAGCAGAAGGTGTTGGGCCTTAAAGGTGCCACGTTTGTGATGCTCCTCCTGGTGTTGAACCACGTGCAGTTTGTTTTATACACTTGCCTTTCTTTTACCACTTGGCTTTACTTGTAAAGGTGAGGATTTTCCTTTCCCTGCAGAAAGTACTTCCGAAATAAAGATGGATTGGATTGTTAAATGCTTGGCTTTCTGTCCTTGGGTGTGTTTTGCCAGAAACAAAGGGGTTGTTTTCAAAAGCTTTGGCTGTTCTTGGGCTTCAGGTGAGTGGGCTCAGGCAGAGCGTGGGGGGCCCCCAGCCCTTGGTGCGGCTGAGAGGGTCAGGCTGCATATTTTTAGCTGAATTTGGGGAATTTTTCAGGATTGCAACACTTGGGATTCGACCTCCCGCGGTTGTATCCCGCTTTGCAGCCGGATTGATTCAGCCCAACTCAGGGCTAGAAGTGCCCCCCCGGCAGCTGTGTGCTCCTGGCACAGCATGTCCTGCATCTGCAGGGATGAATCACCTCCAGCCACCAGAAAATTAACCCCACTGAATAAAAAATAGTTCCTTTTTCTGGTTGGAGCTGTGCCCCGGGTGAGCTCGCTTGGGTGGGTGGGTGGGTGGGTGGGTGCTGGCTCTGGGGTAACAGGGAGGTTTGGCTGAAGGTGGGACAAGGAAATGTGGTCAGCAGGGATGGAGGACACTGTCTGCTCCTTGGATGTCCTCTGGGACTGCTGGCTCCCCGGAGTGACCCTGCTGAGGAAGAGGAGGAGGAGGAGGAAGAGGAGGAGGAGGAGGTCACCTCCAGCCCTGTGGGTCAGTGAAGGGTGTAGCAAACTGAAAGAGGTTTGTGCTCTCCAGACCCATCACTGGAGAGGAAAATAACCCCACAGAAATCAAATCTCCTTTTGGTGACAGTTCCCAGAATTTCATACTTGTTTGTCTTTAATGGTGTGTAGGGGCAGTGTGCCATGTATTTTTTTTTTTTTTAAAGCTGTAAAATTAATTCATTCCCTTATAATGCTGCCTTTAAGAGACCTTCAGAAAGTCCCTGATTGAACATGCAGAATTTCTCTTTGATAAGGGTTTCCCGGAGCTCTCGCTGTTCCTTTTTCCTGCAATGCACAGCTTGGCATGTCCTCCTGGAAGGGTCTGGCTCCATTCCCAGCCCTTCCACTCCTCCTGCCAGATATGAAGGATGGTCCCAAGTCCCCTTCTCAGAAATCCTGTGGAGCATCTGCTTGGGGATTTAATTAATGGTACTTTGTGTGTTCTCCTGCTGCTTTTCAGTGAAGCCCTGAGGGCTTGCCTTGGGCTGGGGTCCAGCAGCAGAGCCATTCCCAGTGCCCAGGATGGGAAACCCCAAGAAACACTTGGAGCAGGTGTTATTTTTATGTTGAAAAGCCTTTTCTGTGGCTGATGTGCAGTCATGCCAGGGCTCCTCAGGGCTGGGTGCTGCCAGCACACTGTGGGCATGGTCAGAAACGTGCTATTTTTTTAGTGAAGTGCATCTCAGAAGGGCTTTTTGCAGTCATGAGGAGCCTTCCCCATTTCCCACTTGTTGCCCAATGGGAAGTGATGCTGGAAAACACTCTCCCAAATGAGCTCATTCCTTGAAAATGAGAAAATCAGCAGCTGCAGCAGAGCCACAGACTTTTGTTAAGCAACAACCAGACAGCTCTTGTTTGGGTCAGCTCTGCAAATTAGATGCACAGTTCTCAAGCTGTTGAAATTCCAGGACAGTCAAATTAATTTAACTGGTTGAGTTATTGTGTGGCCATACACCCTCCCAGCTCATTTGGATTTCCTGGCTTATCTGATTTCCTCACCTCCCTGTTTTGAATGCAGATCCATTGGAAAGATGTTTTGTAAAAGCCCAACACATTCCGTCCCGATTCCAGCTGTGTGGCAGCTGCTGGAAAAGCAATTAAAAGGAGTGGAAACAGGAAAAAAAAAATTTAAAAATTACGAAAAACAGCGAGGAAAGGAGGAACAAGAACTGAAATCCCCTTGGTCCTGGAAGGCAGGATTCACCTCGGCAGAGGAAGGAGCGTTTGCTGAGTCAGGCTTTGAGCAAGATGGGGAGAAGGCAGAGCAGAATTTTCCCTCTGGAGAAGCTGGGGCAGTGAGGAGGTGGTTCTGCCAGCACTCAGGAGCTCCTGTTCACCCCACCTCAGGGTGAACCCCGACTCTCCTGCCTGGTGGAAACGTTGCTGTTGTATCGCACGCGACGCACGAGTCGTGTTAAATCCTGCAGACTCTGGTGTGTAAACATCTCCAGGCTCCGGGCCAGTGGGTTGTAGGGATTGCTCCATGGCTGGGTCATCACTCCAGAAGTTTTGGGAGCGTTCACACCCCTGGGACGGGGCTGTGACGTCTGGAGAGGGGCATGGCCACCGGGCTGGGCTACGGCACTGAGCCCTCGCCGGGGCTGCAAAGGGACCAGGAGCTCGGACACCTCAGAGCTGGGGGGCACCTAGTCCTGATGGAAAACACAACATCAGGTAAGGAGTCTCACACTTCTCTTTTTTTTCTTTCTTTTTTTTTTAAGGGGGAAATTGATTTAGAAATAGAAAAATTCTCCTCGGGGTGTTTTCATGCCGGGCTTTTGTTTGGTGATCAATTTTTTTTCCTGATTATTTAATACAGTGTTACACTGAATGCAGGGGAGCTGCCCCTTCCAGCTCATGTTCTCTGACAAATTTTAAGCTTCGTGACAAAATGTTTAAGAGGCAAAGGAGCAAAAATCATCAGCTTTTCTGGGTGTGTGTGGATTTTGATTCTCACCACGGATGTACTTTGGCTGCAGGTGAAGAGCTGCAGATTGATCACTGGGTCTCCCCAGATGATAATCGCTCCCTCCACTCTCCTCCTCCTGCTTTGCTGATGCCACTAAAAGCATCTAAAAAATTAAAAAACCCAAGTTTCACTTCTCTGTAAGAGTTAAAGTGTTGAACTTTGACAAAGGGCAGGTTTGGAGCTCTTATTTTCAAGTTGAGAGTAGGGAAATAACCCGTTTCAAAGTTTGTGTGTTGAAGAGTGGAGTCGGTGCAAATCTGTCCTGCGTTTATCAGGGGGACCAGATGCAAACAAAAAGCTGCAATAACTGGTAAACAGAAGGGTACAGAAAGAGCACATTCACCTCTGCACTCCCCACGTGCAGGGATTAATCCTTGGCTCCCGGAAAACCTGTGGCTCCTCTGGGAAGTGGGAGATGCAGCGTTCACTCCTCCATAGGCAGCATGGAGAGGCTCCTGACAGTGCTCCCGAAGATTTTAGGAGTCAGAATCACCAACTCACAGAATATTTTGAGTTGGAAGGGACCTCAAAAGGACATATAGTGCAACCCCCCTGCAATGAGCAGGGACACCTTCAGCTAGATCACAACAAATTGATTTTTTATGAGAGGGAAAGAAGTCTGAGGAGGTGCCAAATAGAAATTCCCTGAGACAGTAAATAAAGGAAGGGGTTATATGGGATGTGCCTTTCTGGGACAACCTGTAGGAGGGCAGAACTACACACACAAGATCCTGTAGAAGTTACTGCAACACCTGAGCAGTTTGTTCCTGGAGAGCAAGAAGTTTGGGTGTATTTAATGAGCCCTTGGGAGGCAAACACTTCCAGAGACATCCAGTTTTCCAGGGGATGCTCTGAACTGGCTTAAAGCTTCTCAAACACTGCTGCCTCCAGAGAAAATTCTGATGGGTTTATTTTGTCTTCTGAGCGTGAAGTTTTGTACCTCAGGTCTTGCAGAGGGTTCTCTCTTGCTTTACCTTTTTGATCATTATCTAATGGCTTAATTAGGTATCTAATTAAAAATTAATAATATCTAGTATTTATTAGGTATCTAACCAAAAGTTAAATTCCTCCTGATTATGTTCATACAGCTTTTCTGGGCAGCATCACTTGTTTGAATTCCTAGCTTCATGTTTGGCTTCCAGTGGTATTTGCATCTTGCTCCACAGGAAAAAAATAAATTAAAACTGGTGGAAACTTAGTTGGAATTTTCTGAAAAGTTTTAGATTAGCTCCATCAGTTTTTAAATGAAGTGTTTGTCATGCTTGTAGAGATTCAGTGCAGTTTTTACAAGACCATCATGTTTTCCATGAGCCTTTTTTTACTGCCCAGACATCCTGATTTCAGTTCACAATGCCTGAAATCCAGACCTGGGCAAAAAAAAGGAACATTTCCTAGAAATCCCTTCCTATTTGCCTTTAAGCTTCACTGCTGGCTGGGATGGGGAAGCACAGGAGAAAGGAGAGCACCAGGAGATAAACCCTGTGATAACAGCCAGAGGGTAAACAGGGATTCTGGATCCATCACCCTCGGAGTAGGCAAATACGTAATTATTCCAAAAACAAGCAGGGAAGGGAACAAAGCAGTAGAAGCATTTATTAACTCCAGCTGCCCAACCTGTGAAGTCAGGAAGTGATGTCCAAGGGGAATAGAGCACTGTGCATTTGAGGTTGCTTTGATTTGGGGTTTCAGGCCATTTGAGAGGATTAAAATACAAAAACATGCTGGGAGGTTCCCTGCCCTGCTCTCCTCCTGGGGAGGGGGCGAAACCTGTCACTCTGAACTCGCTGCTGTTCTTGCGCAGGGAATTAAACTTGGAGCTGAAATAAATATCCCCCATAAAAGTATCCCCCAATAAAATTCCCTGCTCGGTATTTAGGAGGATATAAAGGAACACATGGAAGGAAGGAGGGGTGGGAGGAAGTTTTTAGGATTATTTTGCTTCTCGCTCTTTTCCTCTGATCCTGCTGGTCATAAATTTAATTAATATCCCCACTCTGAGTCTGTTTTGCCCGTGATGGTGATCAGTCAGTGACCTCTCCCAGCTGTTATCTCAACTCTGGAATCCTTCATTGTTTTTATCCTCTCCTCTGTCCAGCTGCAGAGGGGAGGGAGAGAGTGGCTTTAGTGGGTACCTGGTGTCCAGCCAGGGTCAACCCACTACAGCACCTTTAGCATCTCACCAGGGTTTTTGGTGGCCTCCCCCCCATGGGTGATGTGGAAAGAGGGCATGTGTGCAACAGGGATGATTTTGGGGTTGGTTACAATACCTGGAGCTGGTGAGTGGTGGTTTGCCAAAAAAACACATCTAAGGCAAGGCATAAATATTCTTCCTACAGTGAAATGTAGAAAGTGAACAGTTGTCTCATTCTACAAAGATGAAGAAGGACGAATCTGCACATGGAAGAGGCAGCTGAGCCCAACCCAGCTCTCTGTTCCTTTTCATGATCTTGGGCTATTTCCTTTGAACTTCACCTTGCTTGTCCAAACTGTAAAATGGAGACAAGTTCTCAACCTTTGACATGTTATTGGCTTCCCCCGAAGTGCTGTTTACACAAGTAAATACCTTAACTTCCAGTGATCTGTTTCATTCTGAATTTTATAATTTTCTTTCTCAGCTGGAAAAATGCAGGGGATGCTCAAGAAAGCCTCAAAAATATTTCAGCAAACTCGTGCTCTCCTGTGGAAAAACATTCTTCTGGTGTGGAGGGTGAAGACTCAAAGTTTTCAGGCAAGTGTCGGTTCTCTCAAAGGGAAATTAGGATTTCCACTACAAAGTGTTTTTTTTTTTACATTGCATGGTTTTTATGCAAGGGGATATGAGAAACCTCAGCTGGTAATGAGGTTCCCTGGGAAATGTCAGCAGTTGCCCTTCTTCCTGTGACACTGGAACATCCCAACACAACACGGCCTTGTGACAAAGCTGGATTTGTTGCTTTTGGTTGTTGCTCCCATCCTGCACTGGACAAAGGAACACAATGTCCAATTCATGGTTATGGTGTACAATTACCAGCAGACCTCCTTGGCTCCTGTACTAAGAAAACATGTTTTCCACTTGAAAACGTTCCTCGTGTTTTAAAAAAACCCCACACCTGTGGAAGGGCTTCTCCCTCGTGTGCAGAGCAAAGTCACCCTGTAATGGAGAGAGAAATTCAACTGCAACAGCTCCAGCTACGACTGCTGCATTGAAGAGGAGAGACACTGCTGCCCCGAAAGTGGAAAGGATCTTTCCTTCTTCCCTTCTGGACTTTTATTGGAGGGAGAGGAGATTTGATCCAACGTAAATATTGCTTTATCATAGGAGAGATAGCTAGGATTATGTATATAATGTATTATAATATTTATTTGTGTAATAATTGTAATATAATTCCCTTCCCCCCATATTGAGTCGTGTGTTTTGTCTGGAAAACCCCTCTCACACTGGGAGGAGTTGTGGGAGGGGGGGCTTGGACTTGAAAATTGGATTTTTGGGGGATCTCAAACCACAACACACCCACAGCCAGAGGAGCTGGATGGTGCAGAGCTGGTTGAGGAGGGGCCTGGAAGAGCCTCCCCACACCACCAACCCCTGGGCTCCAACTCACCTCTGCCTTTCCCTCCTCCCCTCCAGGAATGGGTGACGTTGGCAGTTTTCCTCTTCACGCTCCGGGAGACGGCGGATATCATATGGGACTCCCCGAGGGCAGAATTCCCTTACAAATTCCTGGGGCAACTGGATGATCCACCCTATAATGCTACGGGAGTGATGCTCATGTACACACCTGTAACCAACACCACCAGGAGAATAATGGGCAGAGTGGCTTCGGAGTCAGTGCTGAGGGGTAACGCTGCTCTTAAATCCCTGTTCCACGTCTGAACTGGCCCCTGGGGGTGGAGAAAAACCTCTGGCCAGCGTGATTTTTGAGGGTACAAATTGTAGTGATGCCCCATTTTCATGTCGTTGCCCGGCTAATCAGAGTTTTAGCTGTGATGGGTTTATTTTTATTTTTTTTTTAAATATTATTTATTTATTTTAACGGCAGGTATAACAATAGAAGAGGTGGAAAATGAGGAAAAAATGGAAGCAAAAGGAGTTTTTGAAGATGAAGTTATTGGTGTTGTTTTCAAGGATGACTTCTCCTACAGCCTCAGACTTCAAATCAGCAGAACTGTGTTTCCAAATGATTTCTTTGACCACATCGGTAACGAACCAAATGAAACTGTAGAATCTGATTTTACATTAAAAGCTGCTTAGTTGGGTCTCTGTGCTGCTGTGCCACTCCAAAGGGATGGAGGCTACATGTGCTGAACGACTCCAGAAAGATGTTGATTAAAATCTGAGAGTCTGTTTTCGTGAAAGGAAACAAGTGTCAGAGAAAAAAGCTTTAAGAACAACTAAACCTTATCCACAGTCATAGAATCGTGGAATGGTTTGGGTTGGAAGGGAGCTCAAAAGTTGTCAAATTCCACCCCCTGGTGTGGGCAGGGACACCTTCCACTAGCCCAAGTTGCTCCAAGCCCATCCAATCTGGCCTTGGACACTTCCAGGGATCCAGGGGCAGCCACAGCTTCTCTGGACAACCTGTGCCAGGGCCTCCCCACCCTCACAGGGAAGGATTCCTTCCCAATATCTAACCTAAATTTCCCCTCTTCCAGTTTGAACTCAATCCCCCTTGTCCTGTCCCTCCAGTTCCTGATGAACAGTCCCTCTCTGGATTCCCTGTAGCCCCTTCAGGCATTGGAAGGTGCTGTGGGGTCTCCAAACAACCTTCTCTTCTCCAGCCCCAGCTCTCCCAGCCTGTCCCCACGTTAAAACATAAAAGGCTGAGTAAAACTAAATCTTGATTTCCTGACTCTTAGGTAAAAGACATTTTCAACCCCACACATTATACATAAGTATTTATACACACATACATATGGAAATGTATTAATTAAATTTTTTTTTTTTCATTTCTTTCCCCAACAGAATCCTGCAGGGATTATTCAGAAAGTTACTGCAAAGTTCCTTTGTACTGGTACGGAGGTTTCCTCTCAGTGCAGTCCAGCATTGATGCAGCAGTCATAGAAGTAAGTGACTATGATGGAAAACATGTTTTCTGTTCTTTGCAGAGTTATCTGTAAATAAAAAAAAAAAAACAACCCCAAACAGCAAAAAAACCCACAAGAAATCCTCCCCACCAAACCAGTTCGTTTTCCCACCCCTGAAAGTGTCCAGATTGGACAGGGCTTGGAGCAAACTGGTCTAGTGGAAGGTTGTCCCTGCCCGTGGCATGGGATTGGAATGAGATGAGCTTTAAGGTCCCTTCCAACCCAAACCATTCTGGGATTCCGTGGTCCTGTGATTTTCTGTGATCATTAACTTCTTAAATGGTGTGACTCAAAAGTTCAAAGACTGGCAGATCATTCTCAAGGCTCGAGGCAGGGTTAGTGTTTATTGCAAGGCAGCACAAAAAGATACTAAATATTTGTTATTTGCCACTTATAAACATAACTTTATTGACAAACTAATAGTTTCAATGCTTATAAAAACCTATTTGTACTGACGCTGGCTCTTTCATTGCAAAAACGAAATTTACACCTCATTTCTTTTCTCTAGATGAAAACCAACCATTCTGTCTGGAAAGAAATGAAGTCAATCGCTGGGGTTCATCTGAAATCACCCCTGATTAAACCTGTGTTTAGACTGGATTATGTTCTGTTCATTTTTTGTGCTATATTGTGCTACTCCCCGTTTATGTACTTTTTATCAGTGAAAGTTTTAAGGGAGAAGAAGAAGCTCAAGGTGTTAATGGGAGCAATGGGTTTGCAAGATGTTGCCTTCTGGTGAGTCTGGCAGAATTTCACTGTGTGATTACAGGGGTTACATTATCTAATGTATGCAGGATGTTCTTGGAGCAACCTGCTCTGGTGGGAGGTGTCCCTGCCCACGGAAGGAGGTTGGAATTAGGTGATATTTGAGGTCCCTTCCAACCCAAACCATTCCGTGATTCTGTTTGCTGGAGAACCTCTATTTCCAAGCAAGTTGATCTAAGACAGGTTGTTTGGGTTTTTTTCTTGCTGTTTGTTCTGCTCAGGTCTGCTCTTCTCCCCCCAGAAAAGGGGAAGAGCATTCCTCGTGTGCGTAGCAAGGCTCTTGGGCTTGAGGTGTTGTTTGCCTCCAGAAAATGGGTGGATTCACACAGACAACACTAAAAGTGCAGAAACAACAGATTTTGGAGAAAACTGCCAGTGATGAAGCACAGGAGGGACACAGGGTCTGTCCAAACAGGCTTCCAAATCCAAATATTTCACATCATTAGGAAAAGCTCTCAGATAAGGGCTCCTGGCTGCAGATGCTCTGTCTCTCTTTGCTGGCATTGCTGCATCTGCAGAGATCTGGGGAGGTTCAAGACCTGGACACGAGGAAGAACTTCTTTCCTGTGCAGTGACCCCTGACCAGAACAGGTTGCCCAGAGAGGGAGTGGAGTCTCCCTCCCTGGAGATATTCCAGAGCCATCTGGACACAATCCTGTGCCATGTGCTCTGGGATGACCCTGCCTGAGCAGGGAAATCGCACCAGATGATGCTCTGTGGTCCCTTCCAACCTGATCTTTTGATTCTGTGATATTTACACCTTTCCAGTCTGGAACCTGTAAATATACTTGGAATTGCGAAACTTTTGAATTACAGAGTGTGTCGTTTCAGGGCCAAAAATAACTGTGCCTTCCTTTGTAGGTTATCCTGGAGTTTGCTGTACACTGTGTACATCTCAATATCAGCCAGTCTGCTGGCACTGATCACACTGACAGACGCTTTGAATCATCAGAGCTTTTTACAACTATATTTGTTTTATTTCTTCTATGGCATGGCCTCTGTAAGTCTACTTTTGTCTTCTTAAATGATGCAACTTTTTTTTTTCCGGTTTCCTAATTAAAATATCTGAAAGTCAAACACTGCAGAGTTCTCCAGGGCTGGGCATTATATGAGAAAGTAACAAAAACTTCTCACTATTGGAATTTATTGTTATAATGTTTATAATTTATATCTTTTTATATATATAAACATATTCTATATTTTATATATAAAAATTTACCTGTATTTTAACATAATTTCAAAATATATCACTCCCATTACATTTTGAGCGATTCTGACTTGAAATCACAGTAAAGAGAGGTGCAAACACCAGGCTGGGAGTGATTTGTCTGTCCCTATAAGCCTGCCCTAACTCTCAGAACTCTCTGCTAAATCACAAACTTTGTGATTGCCATGTGCATCTTGTAGCGGACAACTGAAGCTCAGCTGGGTCTCTAATTTTGCTCCTATTTTCACATTTGTTTTTTTTTTAATTGCCAGCAGAAATGCACCCTGCTAACTCCTGGTTTTCTCTGCTGCAGATTCACTTCACTTTCATGATCAGCTCATTGTTAAAGCAGCCAAATATTACCAGTTTTGTGGGATTTGTCCTTCACATCCTCTTTGGGTCAGTGGGCTTTTTGACACTGTTCGACATTTTGCCACCATCTGCAGGATGGATTTTGAATCTCTTCAGTCCTTTTGCCTTCACATCTGGCCTTGCAACGGTAGGTCCAAAAGAAAGCCAGTGCACCACCAGAAGTTCAGCCCACAGCAATCCTCCTGCTGCAGAATTCCACAGCACCATCCACAGTTTGTATGGTCAGAACAACCCAGTCACACCCGTCTGCTCTAAACGCTTGGAGAGTTTGACTCCAAAAAGTCCATCCTAATTTGTAACAAAGATTGTTGGGCAGTCCACTGCATTATGCATTTTACAGCCTCTGTATATGCAATATATTGAAATCTCTGTACATCCCTGCAACAGTGGGATGTGTGTGGTGGGCACAGAGATCTGCAAGAACCCTGAGGTCTGGGAGTGCTGCCTTGGCAAACCCCACGTGCATCACTCTGCTGCTGTATTAACTTCTCCACAACTCTGAATTCAGCTTACTGAAGCATTTCTGATGCTTGTGGTCACAATAAAGCCCTTTGCCTCCTTGGAAACAGCATCGTGATCGTGAGTGGACTTGGGTTTTTCAGTGAAAGTGGTTGTGATGACACAGCAGGAGGTTGCACGTAGTATTTCTGTCTGAAGGAAGTGTCATATCTGACCCTTCCAACTTGTGCTTTTTTTTTTTCCCCTTAGATGGTAAAATTAGAAAAACATGGACCAGGATCTAACCCCAAATTGTACCCTTTGTATAACTTCTACCTCGCACTGAGCCTTGACAGTATCTTGTATTTCCTACTGGCCATCTACTTTGATAAGGTTTTGCCTGGTAAGTGGAAATGGGAGGGGGGAAAAAAAGTGAATTTCCTTGCATTTTTTTCTATAATTCTCTCCCTTTGTAGGGGGAAAGCTACCAAAGGGGTGGTGGGGTGAGAGAAGGCTGTAACCCACGTGGAGCAACAAAAAAAGGTGTCCTGGTAGCGTGGTGGTCAGGCTGTGGAAGGGCATCTTAACAGCCTTGACAGGTTACATCAGGGCATGAAAATGGGATTTACTGCATTTCTCAGGAAATAAAGGGTTGGGAAGAATCCTGTTTTCCCAGAATCTGTGTGTGTGTAGCTGCCTTGTTTGGCCCTGCCTCAAAAACAGGCTTAAACCCTGCAGGGATGCACTGAGATCCTGCTCCCACAGCCCTGAGCACCGGGTTTGGAAGGGTGTTACAGGACTTGACCTGGTACTTTTGGACCCAAGAGGTTGCAAATGGGGTCTTTGCTGTGATTATTCTCCACCTGCATTTACAGATATGAATGAGTGGACAACTTAAATAGCAGAATTTATCAGTTCTTTTACTCTGCTGAGAGTCTGCATCCTGCAGCTGTCGAGGAAGAGACGGCTGGATGGTTTGGGGCTGATATTTCACCTTCTCTGTCCCTGAGTTAGGCAAGTATGGGGTGCCACATCCTCCTGCCTTCTTCCTGAGGCCCTCATACTGGTTCAAGCCCAGCAGTGGGTACGTGGGGGTGAGAGTTGGCAGCGAGAGCAGCCACGACCCCGTTCTCAGCGGTAACGCCGAGCCGATGCCCCCGGGCTTCGACGGGAAGGAAGCAATCAGGTGAGGGCTCCTGTGGGCATGAAAAACACACCTCTACATGCAATATTTGACCCCAGAGAGCACAGTCATGTTGCACTGGTGAATGTTAGGCTGAGTCATGTTATATATAGAGATAAAGGTTAATAGCAAACGTGTGAAAGGTAGGGTTTGTTCAGGGTTTCGTTCTGCTCCGGAGCTGGATTTGAACACTTATTGGACGTGGTGCATCCTCCAAGCCAGGGCCAAACACTCTGCCCTACACTTTCCTCTCTGCAGAGCATCAGCAGTGACTCTGTTCCCCTTCACCATCATCCTGTGCGGGGCTGAGTTGGACTCGATGATCCTTGTGGGTCCCCCAGCATATTCTGTGATTCTGTGATCTTTAAGCACAAAACTGATGGAGTGTGGTGAATAAAATACTTCTTTGAACAACATTCCAGGGCTAGTTGGGCTTTTTGCTGATGCTGCCTGTTGCTTGTTACCAGAAAATAAACATAAATCTACTAAATTAATAGCTAAGTCATCACTTTTAATTAGATAACCACGAGTTATCTCGTTCCCTAGGGCCTCCTGCTTCCTTCACTAAGTGTTCCTCGAGTTTGGCTTGGAAACCTTTTAAACAGCTTTTAGAAAAGTACAGTTGCTAATTCTGCTTTAGAGGTACAAGAAATAGATTCCATAAAGTGATTCCTTCGGAGTGAGCAGGACCAGTTTGGGGAGGAGGTTGGGAAATATTCTTCTCATAGGTTTCAAAGGTTATTTTGAGGAAACATGCCCAAATTGTGATTCCATAGTAATGGCTTGCTTACCTTTCTTTTAGATTAAATAACATTAAAAAGACATATAAGAAGAAGGGCAAGAGCATCGAAGCTTTAAAGGGTAAGAAGAGATTCTGTAATTCTTTTATTCGTTTTTCACTAGATAAGAACTCAAAATGTTTTGAAAGGTACTGGATGTACTGAATTTTGCCTCTGGTACTGTTAAACTACATTGAGCAATGGTTGTTTCTGCTGGGGTAAATTACTGGCAAATTTTTACCAGCTTGTTTGTTATCACCCTTTTCCCTCCAAGAAAATCACTGTTTATTACGTTTTGCAACAGCAAAACTCTCCTTAAAAGCTGTGTGTTTTTTCCACAACTCTAAAAATCCCCTCTCAAACTTCCCTTTCAAAATATAAGTTATTTTGGGAAAACAAAACTTGGGGTTTTTTGGTCCCTGGCTGTGGCCAAATCTGCTGTCTCTGCCTGAGTTAGGCTCTCCAAGCACTTGCCAATGCAAATAATTGACATAGTCATAGCATAGTTGTGGGGTATTTGTTTAATGCCTTTGTTCAACAGGAACTCCAAATGAAAATATAAAAAATTAAAAATATGAAAAATATTAAAAATATCAGTATGGTCCCAAATGTCTATATTGAGTAAAAAAAACCAACAAACCCAACCCAAACAACCCACAGAAAGATGAATTAAGTATTTTTTAAAAAAGAAAATGAGGTAGCAAAGTCTGGCTGCTTTGAAATCACTCTTGAAATCTCCCATGTTGGGAAAGCTGTGGGCTCTTCTCTTCCTATGGACACTCTCTTGAGCCACACTAAAACAAAAGGTTGTGAACCTTGTAGAAAACTGAAGTCAAAATTCTTTAAATATTGAGGTTAATACACTTGTTCCCTCAATTCAATAAAGACTTGGCAGGAGGTGGTTCCTTACCAAGCTAAGCCCCAACTTTTGAAGACCCAACCTGTGCTTTTGGATCTGTGGTTTTGCCTCTTGGCTTCAGAACAAATGTCACTCTGTCACTCGTGGCCACAAGCTACAGGAACAAGTCCACTTCTCACAAACTTCCATCCTCATGTTCTATTTCTACTCCAGGTTTGTCCTTAAACATATATGAAGGCCAGATCACTGCACTGCTTGGCCACAGTGGGTGTGGGAAAACTGCCCTTTTAAATGTGCTCAGTGGATTTTCCAAGCCTTCAGCAGGTAGGATCGTGGACCTGAATGCTCAAAACAAGAAACTGTTTGGTTTTTTTTCAAGTGTAAGGGGAAAATATGCAAAAAAAACCCCTCAATTTTCCCTCATGCTGGGTTGTTTCAGTGCAAATTCCTCCTTCCACGTGAGCTCCAGGGATAATGTACCCTTTATGGATATGCTCACGTGTGTAAGCATGCACAGATGGTTGTTTCTCCATCTGGATGGCCTGATGCTTTCCAAGGAAAACACCTATAGGAAATACGTTTTTATTCTCAAGGGAGAGACCTGGTGCTCTGAAATATTTTTGAGGGGTGTTAAAGCTTTGGACTGCATGGTTATTTTGCTTTTTTAAAAATATTTTTAGTTTCTATTTTATCACTTGAGAAACATCCACAGTGCTGGAATTAATGTCAAAGGTATGAACACAAACCACTCTGTTTTCTCCTTATAACTGGGAAACAAGATGAAATTTGTTTCCTTCACCCCCCTGTGCAGGTTCTGCAACGATATACAACTACAACGTTTCTGAAATACCGGATAGGGAAGGAATTCAGGCAATGGTTGGGGTTTGCCCCCAACTTAACTTGCATTTTGAAGCCTTAACGGTTAAGGAAAACCTCAGAACTTTCGCCCACATCAAAGGGATTGAGCAGAAGGAAGTAGAGCAAGAGGTTGGTATGTGCTTGTCAGCCACTGACTTTTCTTTTATGGCATCTTGGGCGGTTTGGGCTTTATTTATAAAAGATCATCACCAGCATCTGGTTCTGTGGAAATGAGAGCAACCCTAATTTAGGGGTGAAGTGCTTTTTCAGTTCTCTCTTATCCTCATGTTGTGAGCTGGAACTTGGATTTGCAGCATTTCACTCTGAGAAAAGCCACTTAAAGTAGATAAGTTTGAAATCTTGAAGTTGTGCTCTCCTGTGCTGTGTGTAGTCGTTTGTGAATTAAAATGTGACCAAGTGCTTTGGGAATCTGACTCTTGTCTTCGTGTCTTACCAAGGTGCAGAAAGTCCTCGTGATGTTGGACCTCACCGACCTTCAGAACGTTTGTGCTGATGCTCTGAACGGGGCCCAAAAAAGAAAGTTGTCTCTCGGAATTGCAATTTTAGGGAATCCCCAGGTAGGGACCTGATTTATGCACACTCAGTGTGTACTGTTTGAGCTCATAGCTTTGCATTTTGACCTGCCACAGAGACAGGTGTAATTTTCCCCTGGCATTCCAAGGTTACTGACCTCCTCATTCACTTACTGGAAGGATGGAGGGATCTAGTTCAGTGAGAACCACGTTTTTAATTAAAAGAGTGGTGATATTGTAGCAGGAGAAAGAGCAATAAAAATGGCTGACATTTGAGGATGCATTTCATTCTTCGAGTGAGATCATCAAAAGAATGAAATGGGGTGATGTGAACATGGAACTGAGCCATGGGAACATGGTTCTGACCTCGTTGGCCTTTGCAGGTGTTGCTTTTGGACGAGCCAACAGCTGGGCTGGATCCCTGCTCCAGGCACCACGTGTGGAGCCTCCTGAAGGAACGCCGGGCTGGACACGTGACACTCTTCAGCACCCAGTCCATGGAGGAGGCTGATCTTCATGCTGGTGAGCCCAGATTTGCACTTTGTGGGTTTGCAGAAGAGGGTTTTCCACTGTAGAAGCCACATGTGGGTGCCACCATGATGCAATCTGTGCTCATGGGGCATGTTCTGTCTGATGGCAACCACCCAACCCAGGCTGAGCAAAGGCTGAACCTGGACTGATGTGTCCCTCCAAGACCTTGCTCGTGCTCTTCCTCAGGATAAAGCACTTCCATGCTGTCTGGATATGTCGCTGACAGCACCCACAGACTTTAGTGCTGCTGTTTGAATTAATATCTTTCCTATTTCCTTATTATTCCCGTGCTGTGTGTGGGAAATTCTCCACAAGCCCAGAAGAATTCATAATTAAAAGGGTAACTTGATATTTAGGAGAAAGGCAGTGGTTTAAAAAGAAAAAAGACCTTCAGCACTGGCCTGGTTTTACTCCTCTCAATTTATTATTAGCGTGTCTGTTGAGTTCAGAAGGATCAGGGTGAGGTCAGTCTACTGCTCTCTTGTAAATCCCCCTAAATCCTTTGTTTTCGTACCTCCTCAGATCGGAAAGCTTTCCTCTCTAATGGGAGATTACAGAGTGTTGGCTCATCCCTGTACTTGAAGAGAAAATGGGGAATTGGCTACCACTTAAGGTAAATGCTTTTCTTTTGGTCGTCACTCTTTTTGGAATTAAAAAACCAATAACTTCTAGTTCTCATGAGCATTTTCTTGTAGAGTCTGTGTTTCTGCACAGTTTCTATGCAGAGTACTCGGAATCTCAACTATTCATTTTAAAAGACTTCTGAGGGTGCCAAAAATACCCTGCTTTGGACACCAAGCTGCTTTTTTTTGGAACCCACTCCTGAAAGCTCTGAGCAGGTAGCTAAAATGACTTTGCAGCCTCCTTTGCAGCTGAAAGGGGACCAGAGTGATGTGCAGCGGCTTTAATGAGAAGTTGTTTTTCTTTGGATTTTAATTTCTGTGTTCTTGCTTTAGCAGTACTGGTCAGGATCATTATTCCCAACCTCAACTCTTTTTTTGCATGAATGGCAAAACCAGGGGCACTGCAGGCACCTATAAAAATTCCCACTGAAATGCTGCCCAGTTTTGAAGGTTTCCCTGGCTTTGGATTTGAAGCAGATGATGCAAACATTTTTTTTCCCCCTCACTTAACACTATAACAATGGTTCTTTAACACAAACAGGATGCACACAAATGACCTGTGTGACCCAGAGCTTATCTCCTCCCTGGTCAGACAGTACATCCCTGATGCTGTGCTCAAAGGGAAGAAGAGGGATGAGCTGTGTTATATGCTGCCTCTGGAAAACACCGACAGCTTCCCAGGTAAGAAAACCTGTCACTGTGCCAGGGTTTTAAAGGGAAACCAAGTGGTGGGAAAAGCAGAAAGCAAAGTTGCTGTGAAGGGAGTAACTCCATTCCCTAGTCCATACTGTGTGGGAATTGAAAGCTGCATAAACATCAGTCTTGCAGAAAGATTCCAATGCACATGTTAATATTAATAATGCGGATGAACAAAAGAAAATCCACCAACTAATCTCCAAACTAAAATCCACCGAGTCTCCTCTGTTTTCAGGGTGGCCCACGTTAATCAAAAACTCTGAATTTTCCACTGCTTACCTCTAAAGAGCACGATAATTTTGTGATGGTTTTTGAGTTATGGAGATTAATGATGTGGATGCTGAAACACCCAACTTTAATCCTGCCCAGTCTGAGTTTGTGCTCAGCACCAGCCTTGGCCACTGGGCTGAGTCTGGTTGTCCCTGTCGTGCAGATCTGTTCAGCCACCTCGAGAGCAGCCTTTTGCAGGGGGTTGTTAATTATGAGGTTACCAGGACAACCCTGGAAGATGTTTTCCTGAAGCTGGAGGGTGAGGAAGCCGTCGATGGAGAAGGTAAAGCACTGACTCCAATTTGCACGTGTGATATTATTAAGGTCCCACATATACAGATGTTTTAATTGAACACCTAATGAGTTTCTGTTAACTGTAGGTCTAGAGTAGCAGTTGTATCCCACTTTCCTTTAGTGAGGAGTATCTTCTTGGAGAAGTCTGGATGATTCAGTCTTGACTTCCCATAGGCTTTTAAGTACAAGAATTGAAGGCTGATGGTTGATATTGGAAGGGTATTTACCTTTGAAGGGTTTTACTGCCCAGACAAGGAGGTGGGAAGAGCTAAACTGGGCAGAAGGCACTTCACAAGGCCAGTGAAGATACTGGATGTTTTGCCATACAGGTTCAGCCAATCTGAATTCACCAGTGCAATTTATATTCTGGATAAATCATGGCCCCTTTTCGCTGCCCTTGTTTCTTTTCTGACTTAAAAAAGCCAAAGCATTCCTCAGTTCAGAGAAGAAGATCCTTGTTTATTGTGATTAAAACGTGTCCTTCGAAGTCTCTTTGTGGATAATGGCATTTTTAAAACACAGGAGACGGAGACCTGGAGGAGAGGGACCAAAGCCTGCTGGAGTTTCCCAGACAGGGGATCCTGGCAGGGAGTGGGATGGGGCTCTGGAGGCAGCAAGTGTGTGCTGTGATGAGAGTTCGCCTCCTAAAACTCCGGCACGACGGGAAACTCCTCAGGGCCGTGTAAGTACAGGAGCTCCCCCCTGCCCTGCAGCCCCTGTGCTGGCTCAGAGCTTTCCAAGGGATTTAATCATTCCATGGAGTGACTTGTGGAAGGCTTCAGTACTGGTGGGGATGTTTGGAAGCAGAGGATTAGGTGGAAAATGTTTAAAAGCCGGGGTAATAAGGGCAGTCTGAATTTACTGGTAGAGCTCTGAATTGCTTAAGTTTTGAGTTTCCCCACACATCACAATATTAGTTAAGTTGGAGTTCCCCTGGACTCACTCATAGTTTGTTTCTCCACCTAGATTGCTGCTGTTTGGAACATTCATGCTTCCACTGATGATGATTTTAACTCTCATCCAACTGTGGCACAGCTCCAGCAGCTGGGAAATCTCAGCTAGTCCATATTTTCTTCCCACTAAGGAGAAAATTCAAAATAGGTCCTCAAACCTTCTCATCCTCAATGACACAGGTAAAGAAGAACATGTGATGCTGACTCACTTTCTGCACCAACCTGAATCTTATTACAGCTGACAGACCAACCTTGCTTTACTCTGTCTGTACGTTCCTTTCTACATTTGTGCCTTTGGGAGGTGTTTTCTTTTGAGCAAAAGCAAATCCATTCTTAGTGACAATAACTGAGTAGATGATATGTGAAAGAGTAATGAACCAGGCAAACTAAAAAAAAAATGCAATAAATAAGCTAAGAATGGAAACACACGTATTAAACCAGTTTAATTAAAATAGAAAAATATATAGCAAATCATGTTTGCTTAGAATGTCAGTGTTTGGGGTTTTTTTAACATCCTCTGCTTTGCAAGTGGGAACTTGTTTGTATGAAACTGTTCATATTTAAAGAAAAAAACTCTCTCTAATTACTCTAATGTCTGTTCTTGACTTGATTTCAGGATCAGAAATGGAGGATTTCATTGCTGCTTTGAAGGCTCAAGGCATAACCCCAGAAATAACTCTTGAGAAGAACATCACAAGCCTTCCACATCATAATGGAGCTATAAAAGTATCCCTGGAAGGCAAGGTGAGGGATTTTTTTTTTTATTTCTTTCATCCTGTACACCAACAGGATCCCCTGAAAAGTACTTAAACAAGGTGCAGAGAAATAAACACAGCAGAGGAGGGAGGATTTTTTTTTTAACCTGTTAAATAATATTTAATGTTATTCGAGTGCTGCTCACACTTCTCAAGGGCGTGAAGGTGACATCTTTTGCTCTCACATCTTCAGAGCTACCGGTTCACGGTCATGTGTGGTGCAGAACCCATCAACTGCTACCCTTTGCTCGTGAACATCATCAGCAACACCTTCCTGAGGCTCTTCAACTCCACCGCGCGCATCCGCCTCTGGAGCGAGCTCTTCTCCAGGGTGAGTGTCCTGTCCTGCCCTTCCAGGTGAGAATTAATTGGAATGCTGAAGAGATAAGGACTGTGAAGGTTGGAAACCTGGTTGGGTGAGCAAGATCCAAGGGTTGGGGCCAGTGGTCCGACCGCTGCCGGTTCCTGGGGGATTTTAGGGACAGTTTCTTCTGCCGTGTTTGAGAGCTCTGTAGGGTTTCAGTGCCACGGCCTTCCAGTACCTGAAGGGAACCTGCAAGAAAGATGGAGAGAGGCTATTAACAAGAGCCTGGAGAGACAGAGCAAGGGGGAATGGCTTCAAACTGGCAGAGATTAGGTTTAGATTGGATATCAGGATGAAATCCTTCCCTGTGAGGGTGGGGAGGCCCTGGCACAGGTTGCCCAGAGAAGCTGTGGATACCCCACCTCTGGAAGCATCCAAGGCCAGGTTGGACGGGGTTTGGAGAAACCTGGGCTAGTGCAAAGTGTCCCTGCCCCTGGCAGGGGGTCGAATGTGATGAACTCTAAGGTTCCTTCCAACCCAAACCATTCTGTGATGATGAATATGGTCAGAATACAGCAGTGATACTTGCAAACCCCACCTTTCTCCAACATCCATTTTGCAGGAATCAGCATCAAAAAGTTAATCTCTTTTCTCAACAATTTACAGTTATTCGAATACTTTTTGAAAATTCTAAGATGCCAAACACCTTTTTTTTTTTAATTTGCTCTGTTTTCTGTTCTTACCCACAAATTTTTTACCATTAGTGTTCTTGCTCACTTGCATGTTCAACCATCCTACGAGCCAGATTTTCCCTGGATAGCTGTTGATTGTGGGTGACTCTGAATTTCTCTCCACAGACAGAAAGCTCAGATTTAAAGAACCATATCTTTTTCAACTGTCTCAGCTACCTGCTGATTTTGGCTGCTGGTTTGCCTCCTCTCCTTGCAGTGAGCAGCATGGAGGACTACAAGGTAAAGAGCACGAGCTGTAGATGGTTTTACACAAGAAGTGAATGTAAATTCAATATCTCTGGAGACAAGTTACTGGTGGTGATGCCCTGGCACAGGTTGCCCAGAGAAGCTGTGGCTGTCCCTGGATCCCTGGAAGTGTCCAAGGCCAGGTTGGATGGGGTTTGGAGCAGCCTGGGCTAGTGGAAGGTGTCCCTGCCCATGGCAGAGGGTGGAATGAGATGGACTTTAAGGTCCCTTCCAACCCAAACCATTCTATGATTCCATGATTTCTAGGTAGGATGTTAGAAGAAATACAACCACACAAGCACAGTGCTGTACCAAAGTGCATTTCTCTGCATCCCAGGGGAACCAGCTGGGGCTCAGAATAATTTGGATGTTAATAAAGATTTTGAGATCAGAATGATTTAATTTTATTTTTTTCCTTCTTAGGAACGATGTGGTTTTAAACAACGGTAGAATTAGAAATGCAAGTGCTCGGGAAGGAGAGGAAAGGCTCAGCCAGGGAAGGGAGGAGCGGGAATGGTGTTTTAGACTGTTCTAACTCAGCTCCCTGTTCCCACCCACAGCTCCAGGCTCGCTCCCAGCTGCGGCTCTCGGGGCTCTTCCCCTCGGCATACTGGTGTGGGCAGGCCCTGGTGGACGTCCCGTTCTTCTGGACCCTGATGTGCCTCATGTTTGGGATTTTGGTGGCCTTCAGCCGCACCTTCCCCTTGCAGGCCAGCACCACCCTGCTCCTGGTGAGCTCCTTGCGCGCAGGAAAACCGGCAGACGCAAATCCCCCTCCCTCCCTCCACAGCCAGCTTGTGCTTTGATTGTTGGATTCGAAGTGGGCTGCTCCAGGCAGGTTCCCACATGTCCACAGAGCCCTGATGTTGCTCTCTCTCATTCCAGATCGTTTGCATCGTTGGTTATGGGGTATCTCTTGTCCTCCTCATCTATTTAATTGCCGTCAAAGTTCGCAATGGGCGAAGCAACCGTCACGTTCGGTCTTTAGTCTTCATTCTGGTGAGTGAAGAGCATCTTCCCTCTGAAATATTTGGTTTACATGTCTTGCCACTTGAGGCTTCGTTTCAAATATATCAACACGCAGCAGAATAAATCCAAATCAGTGACAAAGAGCCTGGTTTTTAGCAATAATACACTGATGTTGGAAATTCTTTTTCCTGCGTTATTCCAGGTGAATTATGTTCTCTATATAGTCAGTAACTATGATGAACCAGTTTACTACACCTGTTGTTTGATTCCTGTGTTTCCACCTCTGGGCTGGATGATGTTCTCTGCACTGGTAAGTAAAATACATCCCAGTAAATTCCATAATGGTCCTAATGGTGCAAACTGGCAAAGCAAGAGGCACTTTCCAAGTTCCCTGTCTCGAAGTGCCAACTGCCCAAAAGAGAGTGAGGGAAGACAAGAGGAGAGAGAAGAAAAGATCTGGGAAGGGGAGTGAGAGAAGGAGTCAAGATTTGAGTTGTTAATCCTTTGTTTGGTGGGGATATTTTTGGTTTGTTTAGTTACCAAGAGCTGTTACAGTGGCTGTATTTTGGTAGCACGGGAGGGAAAGGAGGTGGAGCGGGAAGACCCAGAGGGAGGAAGTGCAGTTGGCAGGAGGTAAAAGAACTGGGAAGAGAGAACCAAGGATGGGAAAAGTCAATCTAACCTGATCTGATTTGAGGCCCCTCTGAATCACTGTGGCCAAGGAAGCCACAACCCTTTGAGCAGCTTGAAGCAAAACCAAAGTGCAGCTCAAAGCTGCTTTATTCCATCCTGAAGAAAAGCTAAACATCCCTACCTCCCCCACTTGCTCTGACCCTGCACTCAGACACACCGTGCTAAGGAATTTTCCTAATTGACTGACATTCTTTTCTTGTAGCACTTCTCAATTTTAGAAAGTGACAAATTCCTTCAGTCCTGGAAACACATCTACATGGCTGTCTTTGCAGTAAGGAACAGTTGGAAGGTGGTTGCTTTGGAAAGGGTGGCTGTTGTGATGCAGTGGACTTGCACTGGGCTTGTATAACTCTCCTCATAAATAAACCACGGGTTGTGTGGCCAAAGTTTCATGTTGTGGGTTGGCAGGGGAGACACATCCAAGGAATCATGGGCTTGTGCTTCATGTGGCCCCTGGATGCTGCATCATCTGTGCAAAAATTGGGGAGGGAAGGGGGGTATGAAGTGGAGAGATAATATTAATGTCTAAGGGAGAGATAGTATTAATCAAGTAATCAGTTTAATGCTGCTTCTACAAAAGAATGATGTGATCCCCAATCCTGTAGGATCTCTCGGGGTGCAGATTATCTGAGCTAAAGCTGCAGAAGGAATTCAAGGCTTTTGCAAAAGATCTGCATGTCAGATGGAAATGTATGGGAAGCATCAATTTAACTGCTTCCCCTTTTAAACCTTTTAGCTGAAATAAATGAGAGAGGTTCCTGCATCCCCTTATAATTAATATTAATCAAGTGTGTTGTTACCTTGTCTCCACACCAACCTAATTAATTTCTGGTGTTTTAGCCATACCTCCACTGTGTGATTTTTGCTTTCCTCCTGCGCCGTTTGGAGATGAGATATGGAGAAGGACTTACAAGATTTGATCCCGTCTTCAGGTGTGTCCCAGGGGTTCCTTGTGAGCCAGAACCATCCCAGTCTGCAGGGTGGGCTTGGTGCTGCTCCTGGCTCACCCCTGACAGCAGGAGGAGAGGAGGGGGGGAACTTAAAAAAAAACTTTGCACAATGTGGATAAAACTTGTATTTTTAGTTTTAACCATTTTATCTGAAGGGCAGGAAACTAAGGACAAGGGGAAGGATTTTTAATTCCTTTGGGTCATTGCAGTTTACAGCTTAATTTACTGGAGTTTCCCTGAATGTGTCTGGTGGCAAATTCCCACCCAGTGTGCTGCAATAGATCAGTTGAACTACAATGTCCTTGAGAGGATAAAAATTGTGATTTGAGCTTTTTTTTTTTATTATAGCTGAGGCTTCAGAACATTTCACTGCAGCTGGAAAAATTATAGTTACAAATCAAAACACAGCATTTTAATTCCTTTTCAAAGGTGTCAGTATTGTTCCTGGTAGGATGGAGAGTCCCCCTAAAGCTTCATCAGGCTGGTCATGTGCTACCTGCTCTCTGCTTCTCTGTCATCAACAGCAAGAGACTGACCACCTAAGTCATGTGGGAGAAGATCTGTAGAAAATACTGAATTTTTAAGTGCTAACAAATGTGACTGAGCTGGGTTGAGTTGGACCTGATGGTCCTTGTGGGTCCCTTCCAACTCAGAATATTCTGTGATTTCGTGACTCTGGGTTAGATGCCCAAATTCCTTTGACAACCTGCTGTGTGTATTTTAATCCTCCTTGAACAGATCCCTGGTGCGTGTGAAGCAGGAACCAGTCAATAGTTAGTGATGAAGGAAAAGCTAAACTTGGCCTTTATTTTCTCAAGGATGCCAGTGGGGTTTAGTTTCTCCCCCGTACATAAATATTTGAGCAAACACTGTCTGTGGAACAGCCCAACGAGCCTCGTGGATTCCATTCCAGCTCAGGACATTCTATGAACTCCCTGAGCTCAAATAAGTTGTGCCGTGGCTGCGTTGGTGCTGCCCTGGGAACAAACCTGGAAACACCAACCTTTTTGTAAGTGACTCCCAGTGATGCCACCTCTCCTCCTCCACTTGTAGGATCCAGCAGAAGAGAGTGGTCACCCAGCAGAACAGGGACCACCCTGGGGAGGAGCCCCCAGAAGTCCAGGAGGAGAGGGAGAGGGTGCGGAGCACGATGGTCTCCCTGCAGCAGGACCAGGTGAGTCCAACCCTCTTCCTTCTTTCCCTTTTCATTCTCCATCTCCAGGTTGCTTTCTTAGCTGCTTTACCTTCATCTGTGCTTCCTGAGCTCATGCACTCAGATGTCCTGACCTGATCTCACCCTGGCACCAGCAGTAGTTTAGCTGACACTATTATTTTTGTTCCCATTCTGCTTATTCCCCCCCCCTTTTTTTTTCTTTTTAATTTTCCCTATTGCTCTCTTTCCTGGATTTTTAACTGAGAAATCTTCTTCTCTTTTTAGAGAGTCATACTTAATGGTAAAAACAGACCAGCTGTCCCATGGGACAGGAGGAGAGTTTTTATTTCCCTCTCCATCTCTTCACAGGAGTCCGTTGTCATCGTCAACAGTTTGCGCAAGGAATATGAAGTCAGGAAAGCCACTTCCCTCTGCAAGACACAGAACAAACTTGCTGTCAAAAATCTCTCTTTTAGTGTTAAGAAAGGTTCAAGTATTTGGCTGCACTCCCTATAATACAAATGACTAAAATCTAAAGTGAAGGTCACGTTTGGAGAAATATTTTCATCAGGATTTTCTTGTGGGCAACCAGACCCAACATCCCGGGCTCCTCCACTCAAAGTTTTAATTTATGGGGATAAGTTAATGAACAACCCCTTCCCCTACTGTACGTTTGGATATTGCCCAGCACAGATGGAAGAAGGTCTTATAAGCAGTAATTATTATTAACAGTTGTTGCATATTTGTTCTAGGAGAAATATTAGGTCTGTTAGGACCCAATGGAGCTGGAAAAAGCACAACTATCAACATGATTTCTGGAAAAACAACAGTGACTGCTGGGGAGGTAGGTGGTTCCTTTGGAGATGCCCTTGATGCCTTTATAAATTAAGGATATGATAAGGCAAGTCAGCAACACAGCCCTTCAGTCAAGGAATTTATGGATATTTATGTGCAATTTATACACTCTGGATATTTACAGAAGTGAGAAGGAAGTGTTGATTTACTTCAAGCACGTTCTAGTTTTCATCGAAGTCAATGTTATAGATTTAAGGATCTGAGCTACAGAAAATCTTTGGTGGGCATTGGAAACCCATTGTGAAATTTCCCAAGCCCTGCAGGAAATGTCGCCACGTAAATAAAACCCAAAAATAACCCTCTCCATAAACAGCCTTGCAAAACTAGGAAATTGGAAACGAATGTGGACAGTGCTGGGCCAGTAACAATCCATCAATTAATTACGTGCAGAATGATTAATGACATGTGCTGGGGGAGGGGAAATGCCATTGCTGTTACAGATTTGGGACTGAATGTTGGGAACAAAAAAGTACTACCAGGAAAAGGGAGTCTCATCTTGGTGCTATTAGCAAAGTTTCGTGGCAGTGAAAAGGCAGATGGATCAGGATCCCTGGATTCCTGGAGAGTGGTCCCTGTCCATGAAGCTTTCTGGGCAGCCACACGGTGACCACTCACCAGTGTCTGCTGACTGCTCAGCTGGCTACTGTTTGACTTGGCCAGGGCTTGGAGCAACCTGGGCTGGTGCAAGGTGTCCCTGCCCATGGAAGGTGATGGAACGAGATGGGCTTTAAGGTCCCTTCCAACCCAAACCATTCCATGATTCTATAATTAGGAAGAAATCCTTCCCTGTGGTGGTGGGGAGGCCCTGGCACAGGTTGCCCAGAGAAGCTGTGGATGCCCCTGGATCCCTGGAAGTGTCCAAGGCCAGGTTGGAGCAACCTGGGCTAGTGGAAGGTGTCCCTGCCCACAGCAGGGGGTGGGATGGGATGAGCTTTAAGATCCCTTCCAACCCAAACGATTCTGGGATTCTGTGACTCCCACAGCCCCCAGCTGTCTCTCTGTGTGTGTGTTTGTGCAGGTGGTGCTCAGGGACCACGATGCAGCCGCCCTGTCCCCGGGGTGCCTGGGCTGTTGCCCTCAGCAGGACCCTCTCTGGCCAGACCTGACGGTGCTCCAGCACCTGGAGGCATATGCTGCTGTGAGAGGGATGAGGAAAGAAGATGCAGCTCTTGCCATCAGCTGGTATGAAGCCAAGTGATCTCAGCTCTTGGGTCTCCCTCCCTCCAGAGGCAGGGTCCCTCCCAGCCCAAGCCACTCCATGATTCTATAGGGCAGGGAAAGGTTTTTCCTGATAACAAACCTGGATGGTGGTCACAGCACCAAGCCTGCCAGAGCTCAAGGAGCATTTGGATGATACTCTCAGGCACATGGGGTGACTCTTGGAGGTGGTCCTGTGCAGGGCCAGGAGGTGAACTCAATGGTCCTTGTGGGTCCCTTCCAACTCAGCATCTTCTCTGATTAAGAGACAGCCTTCAATGCCTCTTTACCTCAGAAAAATGGGATGTCCTGATAAGATCTGCTACTTTATACTGTTCTCAATCCCTTGCCAATGAAGATTTTAGCCTAAGTTTATCTAGAAAACTTCAGGAAAAAATTGAACTTCCTCCAGTTCATGGCCAGTTATATGAGCAAATCATTTCTCTCATTAGGTGCACTTATTGCCTTGAATTCCTGCAAGAATTCCTTAATTTACCATCCAAGTTAGGAGTAAAATCACCAAGTAACCCAAGGTGATATGTGTAGTCAGCCAAGACAAGCGTGTCTGGTTCCTCAGCTCCCCTCACCACAGTGTTTGCACACTGAGATGCTCATTTTGGCATTTTCCCTTTCCATTGCCCACAGCATAGCCAAGGTCTTGGACCTCCTGAAGCATTTCAAAACCCCAGCCAGGAGGTTATCTGCTGGAGAAGCCAGAAAGGTACGTGTTACCTTTGTCTTTGCTACCTGAGCAAACCCTGCTTGCTCTTCCTTGGACCTTGTGCACAGAAAACCTTCAGCTGAGTGGATTCCTGGCATCATTTATTTTCATCAATAGCCTTGGAATCGAGCCTGGCAGGTTCCTCCCTCCCCATTCCCCCACTCTCCCGCACTGTGTGTTTAATAAGTGCTAACCACAAATTGGATTTACAAGGTAATCACCTCTTCATGCCCCACCACGTGCATCTGCCAGCAAATGGGATGGAAAAGCACTTTCTCATCTTTGGCAGGCTTAGGAGTTTGGGGGAAATCTGATTTTGAGAGATTAAAATGTTAACTGAGAACACCTGATGTGGCTTTTTTTTTTAATCCCTGTTCCTCCTGCGTTTTGGAATCAAGAGCTTCAGCCTTGAAAAGACGCACGAGGATTAAGATATATCAGGACAAACTCACCAGTTTTGCAGGTGAAGTAAAGCAGACCTGACCTCGTGTTGTTCCCATTTCAGCTGTGCTTTGCTCTGAGCATCCTGGGGGATCCGACAGTGATGCTTTGGGATGAGCCATCCGTGGGAATGGACCCGAAGGGGCAGCGCCGCATGTGGTGAGCGTGACAAAAAGGCATAAAATCCTGTTTTCTTCAGAGAAAAATTAAAAATTATAGGCAGCTCTTCCTTTAGTCATTCAGCCCTAGTGTTTGCTTTAGCTTTTCACCAACAGTTTACGCCAAAAGTGTAAAATTTGGGGGGGGTGCTGCCATGACAAACATGACATTGGTATCCATGACATCTTCAAGTGAGATAACTGAACTCTTCTAAATAGTCATCCACTTTCTAGTAACTTTATCATTTCAGCTGCTTTTAGGAAGGGAGATATATAAACCGGATTTTCTTTGGCAATTCCTGGGAGGTAACTGTGATCCCTCTGTCCCCAGGAAGGTGATCCAGAGCTCCATGAAAAGCAAGGAACGAGCAGCCATCCTGAGCACGCAGTGCCCGGAGGCGGTGGCAATGTGTGACCGCGTGGCCATTCTGGTGTCGGGGCACCTACGGTGGGCACTGGGTCACACCCAGCACCAGGATGACACCTGGTTTTCAGTCTGGGGGGGCTTGTTTGGTTTTACTTTCATTTTGTTTTTTTTTTCCTTCCTTATCTAAGGGAAAATACCAGTTTGGATTGTGGCGCGTGTGTAACCAGCGGTTTTTGTGCATTTCTGCTGCCCAACCTGATTATGGAGGGTTGAACAATGTTTTCCCTCCTCTGCAGGTACATCGGTTCCCCTGAGGATCTCAAGAGTAAGTTTGGCACGAGTTACCACCTAGAAATCAAGATGTCAGACCCGGAGAAAAGCGATGCTCTCCACGCTGATATTCTAAACCTGTTTCCCGGCGCAGCTCGGCAAGGAAGGTGAGTGTCCTGTGGGCTGCACACCAGCCTGGATTTGTGCTGGGATTCTCTATTGCTCCCACTGATCTTGCTCAATAATTTACCTGGGAGCACAGTCACCCTACAAGCCCCCCCAAACGTTGATGCTGAGTCACAAAATGATGAATTAATTTTTTTTTCATTGCCTTTTCAGGACTTCCTCCTTGCTCATCTACAAAATACCAATGGCAGATGCACTACCCCTGTCCCGGTCTTTCTCCAAGTTAGAAGCAGGTAAAAGGAAACAATCAACTGAGTAAGGAGATGGCTTTCAAAGTGTTTATATGGATTTGGGCTTTAAGGATATTTTCTCCACCCCTCTGCAGCTAAACAGAATTTCAGGCTTGAGGAGTACAGCTTGTCACTGAACACTTTGCAACAGGTATGTTGATGTGGGAGTTCCAGGTTAGAAACTGCGTGTATAAAAGGAAGAAATAGCCAATGACCAGCACAAAAACAGACAGTCCTTGGCAATAATGGGGTTGTTTCCTCTGTGCCACGTTGCAGGTGTTTGTAGACATCACCAGGGACGCAGAGGAGCATGACCTGGATGCAGCATCCAACGGGGCTGTGGAGCAGAGACTCCTTCAGCCCTGACTCTTGGAGCCACAGTGAAAATATTCAGAGTATTTCATCAGTGTTACTGATCCCTGTGATCAGCTGCGGCCCCAGAACTTGGTTACTCATGCCACAACACAGCCAGCTCTGCAGGTGTTCTGCCTCACAAAGAGAAAAAGAATTATTATTTTAATAAATAAAGCTTTTATCCTTTGACAAATTGATGCCTGACGTTCATCTGTACCCCTGCTCCGACTGACTTGTTCGTTGTGCTGAGGAATAACCCTGCTGGGATGAATTGCTGGTCCCCAGGCAGAGAGGGAGACTGTGGCTGTGTGTATGTGGGGGTTTGTTCAAACCCAGAGGAGGCTCTGACACCTCACTCACCCATGGCAGGAGGGCACCAGGGCTTTGCCTTGCTCAGTCCTCAAAAGCATCTCTCTGGGTGGTGTAATGTGGCCATGGAGGTGGTGATTTCTGGTGGAGTCTTTTGTGTTTTGACCCAAAAATCTGCTGTTGCTGTGTGTTCCAGCTCAGGTCACCTTGGAGCCTCTCTGGTCCCCACCACTGGAGACACAGAGACAAGGAAAGGACTCAGCAGTGCCTGGAAAAGTGTAATGAGAACCAGCATCTCTTGTATCATCACCTGTAAAACCCCAGTGATTATTTAGACTCAGAATGAGATGTGCTTTGACCCAAAGTCACAGTGCAGAAGGACAGCAGGCTGAACATTGCTCTGGTCATTGAGAAGACAGGGTGGGCTTCTTGACAGCACCCATCCCTGGGGGAACTGGTGGGGAGATGGGGGCAAGCCACCAGCACCCTGACCCTGTCTGAGCAGATCAGCATCTCCTCTTAAACACCTGCCTGCCAGGGCTAGCTTTGAAGAATAAATTTAAAAGAAAAAAATAAATCTGAAGAAAAATGAAACTCCCAGGTGTTTCCCCTGGTGCCCTGCTGTCCTGTCCCCCAGCATCCTCAGCCTCAGAGAAAGGTGGGCTGGGGACCCACTGGAGGACAGGAGCAGTGCCATCCCATGGGATGGACAGAGCAGCAAGACCTTCACCCATCCCTGGTTCCTGTGGATGATGCTGGTGCTACAGGGAGGGATGATGCAGGCAAGGAGAAAGCAGGTGGTTCAGGCAGGCAGAGGTGCATGTCCAGGCAATGCAGGCAGGGATGTGGGCAAGCAGGTACCAGCAGGTGGCTGCCGTGGCTCAGAGATGGGCTGTTCCTGCCAGGAAAAATCCCCAGAGCAGCCACCCACACCCCCAGAGAGCTGCTTTCCACGTGGATCTCCAAACATCAGGTCTCTGTCAAGGAGCTGGGCAGGGAAATGTCTTTGTTTGAGGTTCACCGACTGGAAACTGGCATAGCCACCTAAGGGTTGGGGTTTTTTCCATCTGAAAGGGGTGGAGAAAGTTTGGACATGCAGGAGATGTACTGGGGACAGGTTTTAACCTCATCCCGTGCCCTGACTTACTGCACCTCTGCAGTTTGCCTCGCTCCGAAACATCGGAGTGTTATTTAAATCTTAGGGGTTGGTTTTTTTCCCACCAGGCAGAGCAGAGGGAAGTAGATCCAGCTCCTAAACATTTCCAAGCCCAGCCTCTGTCCCAGCTGGTCATGCTCCCTCCCACCACGGGTCCCTCAGCCGTGCTGCTGCTGGGGATGCTGCGGTGGCACAGCCTGGGGATGGAATCAAACCCACCCCCTTTAGAAGCTCAGAGTTAGCCCAGAGAAGTTTGTTTCAGCGCTTACAACATGTTTTTTAATCAGAAGATCTGTTGCTATCCAGGAGGCAGCGCTTCACTGCTCCTCCTGCGCCGGGGCTGGAGGCACAGGAGCAGTTTTCCAACACAACCTTTGCCATTTGGAGAGGAGGGAGAGCCACCGTTTGCCCCCCTGCCTGTGCCATGATCTCGTTGAATTCAGCCTCTCTTGCTGCGCTGAGAAACACAATGGAGTCTGCCAGAGGAAGGATTTTTGTGTGGTTTGTTGTTGGGCTTGTTTGTCTTCCCTTGGCCAAGACTCAAGAATTTCCCGAGCAACTTTTCAGAGAATCCGCTCCAGGGACCCAACAGCAAAGTGCTCTGTTTGCTTTTTATAACACAAATAAAGCTGAAACTCTGCCAAGGAGGAAGGGGGAAGGAAGCCAGGGAAAAGAGAAGCGATGGTGTGAGGAATGCCTTTTGCAGAAGTGCCTGAGTGAGGAAAGGATTGTGTGGACAAAGGAGCACTGAGAGGCGTCAGGACAGGCAGCCAGTCCATCCCAGGGAGCCTCAGCATCTCCACTTCCACAGGCACATGGTGAAGGACAAGCTCTGGATCCCTTCCAAATCTTCCCCTTAAGGTAAGGCTTAAGCATTCTTCCTAAAGCAAATAAAAAAATGTTATTTTAACGGTACTAAAACATCCAGTAAATTATAACCTCGTTAATAATACTGGGAGAGGACACAGATGTGTAGGTGGGGCACTGGGCATCCTTCTAACAGGCTGAGTTAAGCTTGTGGTTAAGTTTAGGGGCTGTTTAAAGGCAATAGAGCCTTTTTAGCCTTACTTTGAGATGACATAACACACAAACAGAGCTCAGTGCACGGGAGAGGTTTTATTCCAGTGTTTCTGGGCATTAAGAGGATGCTGTAGGTTCAGCTTAGCTCAGTACTTTAATCCAGCACATACAAGCAGCAGATTTCTTCCCCTACATGCAGTGTAAGCCAGAGGCTGAATTTTAAAAGCCCTGTCCATCTTAAACTCTTGAAAATTCCCCCTGAAATACTGCAGGAGCAGAGAAATCAGTCCTACCTCATTTCACCAAACTCTGCAGCAGTGGGGTCAGTCAGCACTGAGGGGTGCCCAGGAGGGGGGACACGTGGGATATCTGTGATGGGAACCTGGTGTGCCAGGTCTCCATCCCACCCAGGATCTCCTGGGTGTGTCAGCTTGTCGAGGTTACTCCATGTGACTATTAGAACGAAGGACAAACTGGAAACCTGCTTTAGCTGTGACACAAACCCCTTGCCAGGGTGGAAATGCACACGGGTGACACCCGACATCCCTCACCTCCCTTCTGCTGGGTGACAGACTGACCACAGATTTGCAAGTTTTACTTTGGTTTCCCCAAGGAAGTCTAGATGTTACTACGCAGGCTAAATTCAAATTTTTATATGCTTGGATTTAGTGAGATCATCTGCAAAAAAACCCGGAAAACTGTTTAGAGGTGCTGGCAAAGGAGCAGGTTCCTGCCCCTGAGCCGTGTCCACGCCCTGTCCTGCTGTGCCAGTGCAAGTGTTTGCAGCGTGTGCCCTGGGAAGGCCATTTGTTTCAGCTGCTCTTCCAGCATTTGCGTGCCTGCCGTGTCATTACTCGGGGATGTGCCTCTCCCAGGGGCTGAATGTAAATATTTGGAAGAAGATGATAAACTCCATCTTGCCTGTCAGCACTGTGAGGCATCATCCCCCAAGGGAACAGGAAAACACAAATCTTCCTTCAGTGTGACAGGAAGGCTTGAGAGGATTTGATCTCTAAACTGCTCTGGTATTTCTACCTGAGAATCACTTATAGAAGACAAGGATCTTGTTTGAAAGCAGATTTTAGCTACAGATGTGACAGCAGAGCAGTTTGGCTGTGTGAGTGGAGCTGTTTTGCACAGGGGTACTTAATCCTTTCGCTCATTAAAGGCACTAATAAATATTTTACTCACGGTTGATATGCACATATCTCAGTCTGACAGCCAACTTTGTGCCTTCTTATTGCAGTTTCCATCACCAGCATTAATCCAGGCAAAAATTCCTTGGTTTTTTTTTTTTTTAATCAGGTCTTTTTAAGGATGCTCCCATATCTTTTGGAGCGACACACCAGTGCATGCTCACAGCTACCTGTTTTTCTCCCATTTTTCATTAATATCCCAGCACTAACATCTCTCCCAACGCACTTCCAAGAATTTGTTGTCTCAAGGCTCCGAGTTGCCTTTTCCAAATGAGCTCAGCTCACACCACAGCCAGGAGTTGCTCAACCCCTCTTGGTGTTGAGCCTGCAGCACATTAAAATGACACGCAATGACTTTAATTCACTGTGGTGTTGTCATTCCTTGGATATGAAGCCCACCCAAGCCAATTAGGTCATGTAGTATGATATTCCCTTTTTTTTTATTTCTTAAATAACTCCTCCCAACCTCACCGTGCCACAGTATGGAAACCTGGAATTCTGGTTATAAATCAGTGTTTGCAGCTGAGCTGGGAGGGCTGGAGTGTGTGGAGGGTGATGAGGTCTCTTGCACCCTGTGCTGTGGGGGTGGCTTGTGCTCAGCACACAACATCTGAGATGCTTCAGCTCTCATTTTTGCTGTAAAAAGGGAAAGGAAGTGTCACTGGGCACATCTGCAAGGACTGTGCAAATGAAAGCGGTCTCTGCTGCTTTAGCAAGTAATTTTTTCAAAAAACAAAATTGTCAGTAGGTTCAGAGATGAAGACACTGCAGAGAAATATGAGTGTATTCCAGCAAACGAAAATTCTCTTGTGGAAAAACGTCCTTCTCAAGTGGAGGATGAAGATGCAGAGCTTTCAGGTAAGAAAAAATTAAAAATAACAATAAAAAAAGAGCAGCTAAGCACTGAGAGTGGCCAATCCCTGCCTGCCCCTGGACACCAATTTCTTTAGGTAAAATTAGAAGTTAAAGTACTTTTGTAAGGCGTGACTGGTAGTGAACATTTTGAGACTTTAATGTTTTAACTGATGATTTTTATGCCTGGTTTGTGATATGAGAGCTCAGATGGGCTCTTTGAGCAGAGTAATTTCCTGAGGTGATGGGCACAATGCAGAGAGTCTCAACATCTCAGAAACCAGAGTGACCAAGTTTATATTTTAATCCCACAAAGAATCTGCTCTTACCCTGCTATATTTTATGTGTTATTAAGTTCTCCCCCCCTGCTCTCCCCTGTGCTCAGGAGTGGATGCTGTCCCTGCTCTTCCTGCCCTTGCTGTTCATCGTGGCCCATTTCATGGGACGCATCCAGTCCCCCGAGGTGCCTTTCAGCCACCTCGGGCACTTGGATGATCCTGCCTATAACACCACCGGGGTCACCGTGGCTTTCACACCCACCACTGCCACCACCAGGCAGATCATGGATAAAGTGGCCTCCAGCTCTGTCATGAGGGGTAGGTTTTGCTTTTTAAATGTTGAGTTTTGTCGTTATTTAGCCTCTT